CACGAGTTGTATTGTACTATAGCGCGTTGGAGTGGTCATATTGACGACCACGACTCAACGATTTTGTTTTCTTTAGACGGCTCCTCATGAACGGTATGCATGGGCCGCTCTCCCCATAGCTTTGGACATTAGACTGAGCGCCTGGGCCTTTGTACTTGTGTCTCGCGACTCAACTGGCTACAGTTTAGACTAATCAAACATCTACTCTTATCAATCTTCTCTATCGTGACGACATGGTCTCTGCATTGTGAAGCGTCTCATCCACCCCAGTGGTACGTCCATGTCACACGTGGCGCCGCGGATCTCCGACACGGGCATATCGATATGCATCCGCAATGGCAGCGATCCGCCTCCAAGCCGTATCGAGTGGCGACCCTTGCTTGTGCTACATGGTGGATGTTTTGCCAGACGTGCTGCGGGCGCTTCGATGGGTAGCTGCGAAGCTTGGCGGTAGAGTGGAGACCTGGCACTGCACCCCACGAATACAGGCGCGCCGAATTGCACCTCACCATAGCTCCACCACCACCACGTCTGGTACCTCTCTGCAGCCAATACATCCTGCGTAGCCAAATTCAACAACCACCACCATGGCCAACATCAACTGGCGGACAATCAACATTGACGCCTTGGATCCCGACAGCCCCGCCAACTTCGACCTAAGCTCCCTCACGCCCGCCGTGCAGCCTGTGTCGACGGCCGATGTCCAAAACAATGCCCAGCAATTACGGCAACTGCTCCGTGGTGGTGACAATGAGGGAGCCCTCCTAGGAGCGCTGGAGAACCCACCATATGGCGCAGACGACAAGGGAAAGGTATGTTGCGCCTCAGCATAGCTCTGGAATAGCTCAAGAGACAAGAGCGCCCCAAGTCTCGCTGGACTGGGAGCCATGGCTTCCACCTCTCTGGACTTGGGCTACCGACGACCAGGTCGGCAACATTACACAGTGCAGAACCAAGCTGACAAGCTCCGCTACTCCAGGAAGCCCACCTTGCGACCGTCATCGAGATCCTACAATCCATACGCGCGTCGGACATGTCACCAATGCTGAGCCGGATATACGGTGCACCAGGCGGAACCGAGGCATTGGACGTCCTGATGAAGTACATGTACGTCCAGCAGCCTCTCCTTTGTGCCTTCTGCCACCCCCGTTGGGCTCACCGCCAAACATGTCCACAGTCGCACATTCACCACCTCCGACTAACAAATGTATTTACAGCTACAAAGGCATGGCCCATGCTACACCTGCAACCACCAAACGCGACATCACCCCCCAACCGACCGGTTTCTCTCAAGTTCATACCCGTGGCGGCGGCGAAGGTGGTGGCCAAGCAATGAGCGTGCTCCTCAGCTGGCACGAGAAGGTACGACCCCACGCTCTTTCCTCACCCGTCGTTATCTGGAACGGCCCATGAACCGGGTGGCATCCCACCCTCTGCCGCACAAAGCACCTACTACCTATCGTTCTGCTTCCGTCACTAACACACCAACAGCTTGTGGAGATAGCGGGCCCAGGCTCCATCTCTAGGGTCATGAGCGATCGCCGTACGGTTTGAATGGTTAAACAGTCATCGCATTCCGCAACAATCATCACCAAGGGCGTTTTTTTGGAATCATAACTTAGGACTGGGCTGGCTGAACGCTAGCTTCCATTGCCTTCGATAGCGTTCAGTCCATACCGAGGCGCAGTAGTAGAGCCCAAGGCCCAACGGCAAAAGCAGAACCCGAACAAATCATCACATTGCGCATTCTCTTCCCGTTCTCCCCTCCCTTGCCCACATTACGATCCCAAATCCCAAAATTTACACAGGCATAATCCCATGGCGGAATGCGGAATAATATTGAACGCGCAACCGTCCTACAATCCTCTTGCACTCGCAATTTTCTTGCTATGACGCCGCAATCCATGTCCTTGCACAACTACGCGCACTGACGCCCATCCTTCTACCGGCCTTGCAGAACCCTTCTTCAGCCCTACTTATACAAACAGACCACAACGAATCCTCATTTCGCGGACACGGGAAACACGTAACGCTAGCACAGCTAACTTTCATTAAAGCGGCAACTGACTTATCGACGCGGCATAGCTTCCACGCGAAGCTCCTAGTGCCATGCTAGCTTTCTGAATCGGGAAAGTCCTTAGGTCATGGTCCGCTAGGTCATTTATGGATGGCCGTTGGGTGATGAAACGCGGGTTCCAAGGTTACGGTGCTGATCGCAATGGGATTGGGAGTGTGACTTGTTCGCGACGATGAAGGTCCGTTGTTTCAATTATCCCACCTGTAAAGTTCGAAGATCCAAAGTTTGTCCATCTTTATCTCTTTATCGATTGCACATACGCAAGCTTTATCCCTCAACCAAGGAACTGCACGTTTCGTGTCGCTGGACCCTGGTTGGGCGGAAATTTTGCTTCAAGACGGACTGGGACTGGTTTGTTTGATGTGCGAACGTGTTTCTGGAAGCATGTTCGGTGTTTATGCGTAGGGCTGCGACGCCGCGCTATACCACCCAACTCATCTTCCTCGCCTTCAGCTCACACAGGTACAGTACAAACTTGTTCGCGCTATGCAACGTCGTTCCTTGATACGAAGAGTTCATCGACGGGACGGGTCAGCTTACATACAGAGTATGACCGGCAGCAAGCTTTCTGCGGCGAGACATGACATGGATGGGTATGATGGTATGGATTACCTCGGCCGGTCCTCGATCGGCATATCACCGGCATGACGATCGGGAAGCGTTGACATATCCGTCTCGCGTCTCCGTCTCGTCTCAGGTAGTCGGCTATGCAACGCTTTGGCAACGCTTCAAGCATCATCGGAGTTGGGCGTGCATCGTCGGAGCTGTCGTCGTCGCACCTTTGCAGGGCTTGCACGTGGGAGACGCGAGACAAAGACGTGGATGCATGGGGGAGACGTGGGGCACATGTCATGCTGCGGACCTTTACTGTACCTGGCTATGACATGCAGATGCGTGCATGTCCGTTGCTTGTTTGGGACGGTGCTGGGAGAGAGGGTGGTGGCATGTCGACGCGAGTTTCAAGTTGCGAGTCGGTTCCGCCCACGCGACATTGGAGCGGATCCGCTGCTGTGTGAGGGAGTTGGCATCCGGTTGTAGTTGCTGTACTTGGTTTTCTTCGAGGCTTAGGTGCTGACGTCGTGGTCCCCGAGGTTACCTTTCGAGTTCTCGGCATCGGGGACTTTTTTTTCTTGTCGATAAGCTCCAAGGGTGAGATTTCGTATCCTTACTGTTGGATTCAAAGTTTATCGGATGAGAAGCTGACAGTATTGTACATGGAACGTTACCCATTTCTCGGGTATAATCAGAGTTGGCGACGTTGGTCTGAGCTTACGTGGAGAGGAGGGTTGTTATCATGAGGAAAACTCTTACCACACCTCTCTTACTTCGAGTCACCATATGGACCAGACGTTTCGATGCACCTTCTTGTAGTGACTCGGTGCAAACGGGTAGCAATCCTTCACGTCTCCCCTCTCATCTACCAATATCTTGCCACACTAACATTCACACCTCTTCAGCTTGCATGTGCTTTTGTAAACTTCATGGCTGTCTGTACATAGATCATACGTCACAGGACTTGGGAAGACGGCGACCACTACAGTCTAGAACAAATCTCTTCTTCTTCTTATGAGATCCATCCATCTCTTCCCGCTTCAGATCTCATTTATCCGAAGTTCTCGTTTCTTTTTTCTTCCACACCAAATCTATCTTTACAAACTTTTCGTCATGTGGCTTGGATAAATCCACATCAGGGTCTTTGTCTTCTCCGTTGCTTCTTTTTCTCTTTTCGTATCAATCCTTATCTATGCGAGATTCGGGCGTCTTTCGTGGCTTGATCGTCGCGTCACTGTGGCTTGAACTCACACAGGGTCTGTTTCCTTTTTCCTTGCTTTTCTGTCGCAAAAGAAGGTGTGGGTAAGGTGGATACAGCGGGCGGTGTGGATATGGGAAAGCGAGGCTGTTTCGTCCTCGTGGGTGTGCCCTGTTACGTCGTTCCGGCAGAAGGAAAAACGTGGAGGTGTGGTACAGTTATGGGATAGGGTATGTGGCAACGACATGTGTGGAGATGAGAAGCCTAGCTCTGAAGATGATAATACTCGGGGTACTCCGTTAGTTCTGCTTTCGGTTTCCAAATGATTTAGCTGTGGTAGCGGAACGCCTTCGTCGCGTATGCGTGAAGTCAGTTGTTATTAGATGAGGCAAGACGGCCCAACACACTCGACCAACTCAGTGTAATGATATCAACACAGGTGTATCTTCCACGCAACTCGTATTCGCTATCTGTACCTATATAATACAATGTCTTTTTAAATGTTAAATGTTTAGTTTTCTATCGTTGTGATTTGATCGACACTTTTCGGAGCTACATCAATATCAATATCACTATTGTTGTGGTGCGTCTTGTCTTCCTGGGATATATTTACATTGACGTTTTTCTACCCCAAACTCCAATTTGATGCACTTGCCGAATGTTTCGAGAGAAAACGTGCTATGCTGCGCGCATGGTAGTCGCGCTCTTAGACGCACGTCATATCCAATTTCCATCGCAGTGGAGACAAGATGGTCACCTGTGGATGGAAACGAAGCCTTAGTTGGAAAGTCTAAGGTATAAAATCGGCTGAGAATGCAAGTTTAGGTATGTAGGGCACAGCTTTAATATTCGAAGAGATGTCTGTCTTGATCTTCAGTGTTTCTCTAATCATACCTCTACTATCGTCAGCGTTGCTAGTGTGCCTATTGGCTATGGGTTAGGTATTATCACCATTGGCCAGTGTCACAACTGTCGCTTGTGGTTGTCGTCTTAATTCTCGCTATCGCCTAAACCAATATTCTTATCATAGTTGTTGCTGGTGTCCCTATCATCGCTGATGTCGTTGTCGCAAGCATCACCACGATGGACACTATACATACATGATAGCAAGGGCATAACGTGATTCCTGATTGGGGTGTTACAACAGGAAGCCTGCCGCTAGTAGATACCTCGAGCAATTGCATATCACACCATAGCCTTTCCACCCACCATTATAGCATTGCAACAAGAGGTTTCGTGATAAGTGACTTATGGATTTTGACGGCAGTCCAAGCTAGGTATAAATCCAAAGCCAATGAACATAGATGATACTGACAAGGAAAATGAATAGGAAACAAATATCAAGGGTATCGCGGCCTTCTACAGGACACCAGCGCCATGCAGATCCAAGCCAGCCACCCATCCAGCACCATATACTACATCAAGACCCATAACAGCCAATTCATACCAACGTCCAAAACGCAGTCCTAACCGCTCATTCGTCTTTCTTATCATCACCATCATCGTCATCGTCATCATCCGTCTTCCCCGCTACAGTTTCCATCTCAACCTCTCCTTGCACGTTCCCCTTCCTATCCCTTGTAGTAATCCTGTACTTACCCCCCTCCCAAAGATCTTTGAACGTAAGCTCCTTGGTCCTGCCCAAGCTCTCAATAGCACCAATACGCTCCAGCGTCGCTTCCAAGAAATCCTCAAACCCGGGTTCAGCGCAGATTTCGTTGAAGGCGCGTTGCATAGGCACAGAGTCTGCGCGAACGACAGCGTGTGAGTCGATGGAGAAGATAGATAGGTCATGGTGTTGACGAATAAAGTCGGAGCGTGTCATGACGAAGCGGGCGCGGTGGAGAGGGATGGAAGGGAGGATGTGGCCAACTGCTGGGTCATGGTTTACGTCCATTTCGTTAAACTTTTTGTAAAGAGCGTTGGCAAGAACCATTGCTGTGGACTATTTTGGTCAGCCCAACATTAACGAACAAGAGAGCTTGTGTGTACATACCGCATACTTCTGCTGGTCCATGACGTCGTCGTCCATCTCCTCGCCTAGAATCGCGCAGTTGTTCAGGAACCAGATTTTCTCCATTTCGCAGATGGTGTCACATTTCTCGATCATGTTTTCTGACTTCGCTACGCGGTTTAGGAAGGTCAGACGGCCCCCGACTTTGTCGTATACTTCTTCCAGAATAGACTCGTGGACTTTCTCGCCATAATACTTCATTCGGTAATTCTTTAGAGCTTGCATGGCGCGATCTTTGGTCAAGTCTTTGATCTGGTGTACTTCCATGCGTGTTGCATACTGCTTGAGTCTTTCAAATACCCAGTATTTGTCTGAGTTAATGATGATAGTTGCGAGGTTGGCGGCTGCCCATTGCTCCGCGCGTTGTTGAATGAGCTCGAGAAGGTCCCTACCATCTTCATTATCTCGGATGAGATGTGCGGAATTGATGATAAGGATGAGCGGTCTTCCGACTGTCGCACGGCGTCTCAAAGCCACCTTCTCCAATTTGTTGAATGCTCGTTCAATATCCAGGATAGCACCAGCGTCGCGAGGTCCACGGATAGAGAAAAGCGACCCGATGTTGTCTTCATGGTATTCAAAATCGAGACATCGGCCAAGTCGGACACGGAAGACTTCCAAATCTGCATGTGCTTCCATCATCGAACATCCTTCACCATTAATCTTATCCATGGCGTCGATGAGCATAGATGTCTTGCCTGTGCCCTTTTCGCCTAGGAGCAGGTGATAGCGGCCTTTTGTCTCACCCCAGACGATTTTGTCAATCTTCTCTTGCTCATCACGTGGGATCCAGCGATCATAGTCCTTGTCATCACCATCCATGTCTTTGGTGACTTGTAGTCGTGTAGGTTCACCCGTTTTCGGCATCTCTTTCCCAGTTGCTGCAAGCTCTAATACAGGATCCCCCTCCCGAAAAGCGTTCTCCATCTTTTCGAGAACATTCCATTTGTAGTACTTGGTATAGCCGATGCCGACACATCCTAGGATGAAAATACTGGCTCCAGTGGTGGCAGCAGCCTCGAACATTTTCCAAGCCGTGCTCTTCCATGCTGCCTTTTTTGCCTCGCGCTTTTCCTCTTCAGCCTCTTCTTCTGCTTCGGCCTGCTCAACGGCATCGTCAATTGGGTTTGGCGCGTCATTGCCAGGAGTTGGAGGACCGGATTGGCCACTCAAAGCGCGCGCCAACGATGGATGGAACAACCTTGTTCCTCGCAGTACCGGGCCAGCCTGCTGGGACCGGTATGCGAGCGGCTGTCTTGTCAAGGCGGCATGTGAGCGCGCAATGTGTCGTAGCATTAACATTATTGACGTTGGCGCGTTACGTTGGGTGTCGCGTGCTTTTACACGTGTCAAACGTAGGCGCCTGTCAGGGGTTCAATGGAGTAGGAAATGAAGGAGAAATAAACGAGAGACAGAGACGCGTGAAAGGAGAGATAATTGAGATGGACGGGACGAGATTGGAGGAGAGAGACGCCAATGGAGGCACCGCGGTCTTGTTACGCCGGTGTTGCGATAATTTGGCGCAGGGGCCAAGTGCGAGTGCCAAGTGCGGGCAGGAGCGCGACAGCATGGTGGAGTTGTACACATCCATATCGATAACTACCTGGCGATGACATGGGCGACGGATTCTAGAGGTGACGAGTGAGCGTGTAGGTCATGGTAATCTCAGAATTACCACTTTCCCACCCCCCGGTAACATGGGGGCCGTCTTTCCGACGACATGTGTGGCCTCGGAAGTGGAGAGCGAGCTTAGCGGACCATCCCGGCGCCCTCAAGAAAAATATTCTGGAGATGTGACCGGCGCAGTCCCCTCTCTCCCATACACTCCACGCATGTCATTGTACATTAATGCGCCTATCTTGTACATTACCTTCTTTCACTAGACCGATTCCCTCTTTCCGTAGTCGTTCTTTCCTGGGGTTGTAGGATTTATCGATATATCTCACGCCCGCCATCATGGCCGCTAGTACCAATGACGCTTCCAAGTCTGGTGAGCTTCCCGCGCCCGCACACGACACCAGCCTTGATGGAAATTTTCTCGGGGCACAATAGGAACCCGTGCAGCTTTTGGAAATAGCATGGCTAACGAGATTGATACAACAGAGGTCGAGAAGACTCCCAGCAAGGACGTAACTACAGATGGACCAACTGAGGGCACAGAGGAAGATGGCGCTGGCCAAATGCCAGACAGTATGTCAATCAACGACGCAAGTATGAGAGTCGACAGACTGATCACGTCTAGACATTTTCCAGGTCACCATCAAGCTCCCACATGAGCCATTCGAGATGCCAATAACGGTGTGTACGTAAAAGAAAACATAGTCAACGAAAACTCATTTCCGCCAGATCTCGACGGCCGAGCAGGTGCAAGACCTCCGTCAGAACATCATCGAGACGCCGCATACCTTCCAGTACTCATGCTTTCACCTAGAGCATGATGGCGAGCGAATCAACGATTACGTCGAACTCTCTGAAGTCAAGGGACTAAAGGCCGACTCGGTGCTCACTCTGGTCGAGGATCCGTACACGGAGAAGGAGGCGCGGTTACATGTTGTCCGCGTGCGGGAGCTCATCGGCGCTGCTGGTGACCGCACCGATGCGCTGCACGGCATCATGGCCGGACTGTCATTGCACGACACTGTGGGACACGAGCAGGCCTCGAAGCCAAAGGCCGATGGCCCGGAGCAGTCTCCACTGGCCGACTACGACTTCAAGGCATCAGGCGCTATCAAGAACCTGCTGCCTCCCACTGAAGAGGCCGCGCCCAAGACGATCAAATCCATCGCCGTATCGCCTTGGAACCCCCCGCCATACCACCTCCGGTCCAAGGGCCACCTGCTGTACCTGGTAGTCACCACCAACGAGAACGAACAACACCACATCACAGCTCACGTCTCTGGCTTCTACGTCAACAAATCGTCGAATGCCAGTTTCGATCCGTTCCCACGACAGCCACCAAAGGACAAGCAGGCACACTCGCTTCTCACTCTACTTGAGGAGCTGTCGCCGTCTTTCCGCTCTTCGTTCCAGGAACTGCTCGAGCACAATGCGAAGAAGGAGTTGCTTACCATCTTCCAGCTCTCCAACGCCATCCCCGCCAACCCCTGGCTGGTACCCGCACCCACCTCGTCCCTCACCCCACATCAGCCAGATCTGGCGCGGACACAGGAGAGCTACCTGATCTCAGGTGTTGAGAACACCGAGACACTCCGTGACTGGAATGAAGAGTTCCAGTCGACCAGGGAGATGCCAAAGGAGGCTGTCCACGACCGCGTCTTCCGCGAGCGCCTTACTTCGAAGCTTTTCGCTGACTACAACGATGCTGCAACCCGTGGTGCCATGTTGGTAGCACGGGGCGAGATTGCGCCCCTCAACCCTACCGAGGCCAAGGATGCGCAGATCTTCGTGTACAACAACATCTTCTACTCGTTTGGTGCTGACGGCGTTGGCACATTCGGCGCCGAGGGTGGTGACGAGGCTGCACGCGTAGCGGTCGGCAAGGACGTTTTCGGTGTCCGCGCTGTAAACAACCTTGACATTCAGAACCTCTTCACCTCTGGAACCGTTGTCGTAGACTACCAAGGAAAGCGTATTGTCGGCCAGAGCATAGTTCCCGGAATCTTCAAGCAGCGCGACCCCGGTGAGCACCAAATCGACTACGGTGCGGTTGAGGGCAAGGAGATTGTCGCCGACGACAAGTCGTTTGTCCCGCTGTTCGAGCAGCTCTCCAAGGCGCTGCGCGTCAAGAAGCATCCCGTCTGGGACAAGGACAATGTCCGTCACGAGCTTGAGGGAAGTGTTGAGACTAAGGGTCTGATTGGTACGGATGGCAGGCGCTACGCTCTGGACCTCTACCGCCTCACACCTCTCGATGTCGCCTGGATAGAGGCGCACTGGACTGAACCCAGCAAGGAGGGTGAATCGAAGCCATCAGACAAGGACTACCCCCACCGTATGACAACGCTCCGTCCTGAGCTTGTAGAATCATACGGCAGGCTCAAGCTTCGCGAGTATGTCAAGAACGAGATGGCCAAGAAGACGACAAAGAAGGACGAAGCTTCTGCAAAGCAGACCAAGGCCGAAGAAAGCTCGTCAGAGGAGGAATCTTCGGAAGAGGAGTCTTCTGAAGAGGAATCATCCTCGGAAGAGGAAGACTCTGATGAGGAAGAGGAGAAGGAGGAGAATGCCCCCAAGGCCAAGAAGCTCACAAAGGCAGAGAAGAAGGCTGCGGAGAAGGCTGCCAAGGTCGCAAAGAAGGATTCTGAGAAGAAGCCCGATGCTGAAGACCCAGAGCAGGAGCGCGTCGACATCTCTGGTTTCTCGTTTGCGCTTAACCCTGACGTCTTCTCTGGCCAGAACCCGCAATCTGAGGAGGACAAGAAGGAGTGGGAGAAGGACGAGGCCGAGGTCCGTGCTGCTTGCGAGCACCTCACATCAGAGGTCATTCCCCGTATGATCCAGGAACTCAAGGATGGCGAAGTCGGCTTCCCAATGGACGGCCAGTCTTTGAGCAACCTCCTGCACAAGCGGGGTGTGAACATCCGCTACCTCGGAAAGCTCGCCGAACTGGCTGACCAGGAAGACCCGAGACTCCAGGCTCTGAAGCGTCTTATTGTCCAGGAGATGATTGCACGTGGTTTCAAGCACTTTGCCAATTCCAAGCTGCGTAACGTGTCTGCGCCTTTCGCAGCACCGACCGCTGCTCACCTGCTCAACTGCTTGCTCGGCGCTGACGTTAGCGCGAAGCCTGTAGCTGAGTGTGACAACGATCTTAAGAAGATGTACCCCGAGGACGACTTCAGCTTCGAGAAGCTCACACCCGAGACTCTGAAGAAGGAGGTCCTCGCCCAGGTTGCTCTGCGATACCGCTACAACCTGGGAGATTCGTGGATCGAGTCAGGCAAGGAGCTTCAGATGCTCCGTGAGGTCTCACTCAAGCTGGGTCTTCAACTGGAGTCCAAGCCATACGCCTTCACCAAGGCGGCGTTTGAGGCAAGCGCTCCGGCTGAGAAGCCCGCTGCGCCGCAAACAAATGGCCACTCCACATCTAGCAAGAAGAAGAAGAACAAGTCTACATCCACTCCGCCAGTGCGCACAGTTAGCCCCACTGTCGCCCTTGCTCCACAAACCTTCCATGCGGACGATATCCTGAACATCGTACCTGTCATCAAGGAAGCTTCACCTAAGAGCTTGCTAGCTGAGGAGGCACTGGAGGCTGGTCGCATGTCGATTGCTCAAGACCAGAAGGAGCTAGGACAGGAACTGCTTCTGGAATCTCTCCAGCTCCACGAGCAGATCTACGGTGTTCTGCACCCTGAGGTAGCCAAGGCCTACCACACCCTGTCTAACTTGCTCTACAGTCTCGACGACAAGGTCTCGGCTCTTGAGCTTGCACACAAGGCTATCATCGTGTCTGAGCGCACTCTTGGTGTTGACCACGCTGACACCGTGCTTGCCTACCTCAATGTTGGTTTGTTCGAGCATGGTTCGGGTAACACCACAGCTGCTCTGATCTACGTGCGTCACGCTCTTGAGCTATGGAAGATCATCTATGGACCTGACCACCCTGACTCTATCACCACTCTCAACAACGCTGCTGTCATGCTGCAGGCCGCAAAGATGTACCACGAGTCCCGTCTCTGGTTCGAAGCATCGCTCGCCGTCTGCGAGGACGTCTGCGGCAAGAACTCGATCAACACAGCTACCCTGCTGTTCCAGACCGCCCAAGCTTTGGCGCTTGACAAGGACATGCGCGGCGGTGTCAACCGTATGCGCGAGTCCTACAACATTTTCAAGGAGGTTCTCGGTGCTGAGGATCGCAACACCAAAGAGGCTGAGAGCTGGCTTGAACAGCTCACTCACAGCGCAGTCTCTCAGGCCAAGCAGCTCAACGACCTCGCTAAGACCCGCATCCGTCGCATGCAGCTTCCCGGCCGCAACCCACTTCGACCGGCTGCTGCGACGCCTTCTGCTAGTGACGCCGCTGCCGCTGCCGGAGGTCAGCGCACTGGAAGTGGAAGGGTTGACCAGCGCAAGATTGAGGATCTTCTCAAGTACATTGAGGGAGACTCGCAGAAGGCGCCGAGCAAGAAGAAGCAGACGAACCCTAGGAAGAGGTAGATTGTGTATTGTTTCTGACTCGTGTTACGAACGAGTCGCTACACGTAAAGTTATACTGTAGTCTGCGCGAACGATGTGTATCATACTGGAGCTGTTCGCGCAACATGCTTCGGCAGCTCTCACGAACCTGATATGCTTTTCCTCTTTGGGTTTTGGGCATGGCTTGCATCTTTGGAGTTTTCGGGATGGATGGTGACGAGATGGAATGTCTTCACGACATACCGGCGGCAAAAAAAGTTCTTCCCTGCTATACTATAAGCTAGATTAGGGCGGCTGGGTAAGGACAAAAGTTACGTCGGGTGTACATGGACTGGTAAATAAGGATGATGGGAGGATATGGACGACGAATGACTAGATGTTTGTACTCAATACCAATGCAAGAATATCTCCTCTTCACAGACGGTGTCGTTGTGGTACAATGTATGTTTTGCAGATGGCTTGAGGACTTTAGGCCACCTGCACAACCATGAGGTGGCGACCTTGAGGCTACCAACACCCCATCGAGAAGCTCCACTCGAGGCTGCACCGCCTCAGTGTAGAATGAAGATCCCGGCATCTCCATCCGAACCAAGCTCTAAATAACAACGCCTCCGAAGCTTGTAGCTACAGCAACTTTCTCAGCCAGAACAACATAAGCTTTAAATCAACTGTTACCAAACGACCCTACCACGAACGACAACAGCAAACGCAAAAATGTCTCAATATTTTGGCGGAGTGCAAGCACTCTCCGGTGGCCTCGCCAACCAAGAACAGCTCCGTCGAAACGCAATAAGAAAATTGGAAGCTGAGGGCAAGATTGAGAAGGGTTCTTGGGAGAGGGAAATGGCATCGATAGATCACGATGGCGTGGCCACCAAGAAGAAAGAGGTGAGCAAAGTCGAGGAGACAGGGAAAGAATATCAGGGTGGTAAGAATGCTGGTGGACGGACTAGCACCACGGTGTATGAGGCGCCACCGACATATGAATCCAAGGAAGAGGGCTCCACTGGAGATGGAGAGGCATCGACAGGTGTGAAAGGTGCTGTGCGCAAGCTGTTTAAGAAATGAGGGGTAGGAGAGGCGGATGTAACGTGAACAATGGATGGAAGACGTACTCAACACTTAATACCAATTGATGTAAGATTGTCTCCTCTTTGTATCTGGTGTTCAGTATGGTATGGTGGACTCGATGTGAAGAGGTGGTTTGTACGTACCTATCCCTCGGTCCATCACCACACCGTAGAAGCTCCACTCGAGCTTTACAAGGTTCCTTCTCGGCACATCGCTATCCGAACCAAGCTCCAAATGCACAACCCCTCCGAAGCTATACAAAGCTCCCCCGCCAAACGCCGTACACAGGATTCCTCCATTGACAACAGCAGTACACACAGGAGCTCCATTCAACCCAAACGGCTCACTCACTCGCACACGGCCCCCTTCCCAACTCAGAGCTGATTACCTTGAAGAGAAAGTTGAAACGAGATGGCATCAAACCAAGGACCCCGGCGTATCGGACAATGGCTATATCTCCGACCAGAGTGTATCGACGAGTATAAGAAATGTCATGCGGCAGTGTGGCCAGAAGTACTAGAACAGATCAAAGACAGCAATGTTAGGGATTGTATGTCGCCTGTCTTTTGTTTGCCCTCGTCTTATACAGGATTAACATTTGTTAGACTCTATATTCCTCTCTCTCTCGCCTCGACCCACTCTCTTCGCCTCGTTCAAATACGTCGGAAACGCGTTTGACGAGGATATGGCACGCATGGCCGCCAACAAAAAGGTGCAAGAGTGGTGGGCCATGACGGATGGAATGCAAGAATCACCAGTTGAGGGGGCGCAGGGGAGCGCAAAGGGACCGGGATGGTGGGGACAGACCGAAGAGGTGTTTTATGTGGAGTAGAAAGGAGGATGGGAAACAAGGACAATGAGAACGAAAAAAAAAGTAAAATAATTGGTATCAAAATAAGCTACCGGACATTGCGTCTCCACTCGACACACCCATGTCTTCTGTCCAAAGGAAACCAAACAACCTCTCAGTTTCTCCTTCCCACGTCCTACATGCTGTGACATTGAAGACAAACGTGCCACGCAATTAATGCTTCCCACACTAACACACGCTATGGCTACCTCGATGCCACACCTTGGCTCTATCTGTCTGTGCAGCCTTTACAACGGCTCGTAGTCGGCACTGGTATCTCCAACCCAACCATACCACAACGCGACCACTGTATTCGCCGCAACCCACACACCCGCATATCCTACCGCACCAACAACGTCGGTACCAATGAGCGTCATACACCGTTGGACAGTACCGGCGAACAAGAATGCGTTCAGAATAAGCGTCTGCTGAATCAGTGTCCTAGTCCTCTTGCTGAAGTTGAAGAAGTTGTGTTCAAGCGTCTTGGGCAGGGTCGCGGTTGCGGGATCGAACTCGTCAGCCGGTGTCTGGGTACCGGAGCGCTGGGCTGCGAATGAAGGGTTGAGCAAGAAGGCCTTGGCGGCAATGCCGACAACGACAGTCTTGATGAGGATGGACACGGGAGTCTCGAGATGTGCGGCTTCCAGGGTGGGGATGTCGAAGTACTGGACGAGGAAAGTGTTCAGGAGACCGCTCTTCAGGCCAGCCCAGAGAATGGTAACGTAGACGCCTGCTGCGAGCATCGAGGAAGAGACTTGGACTTGCACGCTGTTGAGGAGGAAGCGGTTGCGCAGGGGCTCGTTGCTCCTGTGGACGATGGAGCGTGGGCGGAGGAGGTACGTGGGTACGGCGAAGGAGAGGACCTCAATGGAAATGTTGGCCGCGGCGGTCAAGGCCGAGATGTCGTAGAAGGTGGTAAGGAGGTAAGTAAAGGGCGCGTAGGTAAGGACGGTGAGGGCCGAGACATCGTAGACTGGATACTATTAGCCATGGCGTGTTTGTGAAGGGGCATCACCCAGCGTAACAGTTGGATCACCTACAGTCGTAGTTGAAGTACCACGTCATCCAAACCGTCAGGAAGCGCATGGCAATGCGCGCGACGGGCGAGTAGAAAGACGTGACATCGTCCTCGTTGGGCACTTTGCTGACGGTGCCCAGCTCGGGCTTGAGGAAATTGGCGGTAAACTCCCAGAGCAGCATGTTGATGCCCATGTTCAGGCTGATGAGGATGGGCACGCGCAGCGCCGTGGGGAGACGCGATCGTACGGGCGCGCGTGTCGTCGCATTGGGGACGACATCTGGCGCTTGGCGCTCGATGACTGCCGTGGGTGCCATTTGTCGCGTCGTGTCGCGTTGCTGTCGCGTTGTCAATGTGGGTGGGAAGAAAAGAAAAGTACGAGTTGATGTGCGCGCAAGGCTGAGATCGAACGCGCCTCGGTGGGGAGAATGAATGGATGGGTGGTGGCAGGAAGCGTGAGTGCGAGCTAGTCGACAACTTTGTTTTGGAATGACGCAGCTTGCGAAAACAGCGAACAGCGCCCGTGCGCACTCGAAAACATGGCCAAGACTTATTTCACTACATGGATACACACTTTCTAAGGATTCCAGGGCGCGTGAATTAGCTTGGAAAATGTACATTCCTCCGAACTTGGCACAGGGCACGAACAATCTCCAGGGCACGGCATCTTGGTTGTGAAAAGGATCATATCAGTCCATTAAGCAATCATATTTGCAGTCGTCCAGCCCATGTGCTACAACATTATCCATGCTCTAGACAAGATACCTAAAGTCTCCCATCTTCTTCTTGCCCTCCTCGACATCAACGCCCTCCACAGCAGCAGTCTGTTCGGCAACATCGTCATGCACAACCCAGGCGTCAAGTCCATCGTCCAACCGCTTGTTCAGTCTGACCAGGATAATCTTGAAGATGAGACAACCAGCAATCGTAACACCAAACATGGCCGTAACAACTCCGTAGCTGTTCCTGTAACCATTGTCCGACATGTTCCACACATACGATCCAGCGATGTTTCCCAGCTGCGAGAACGCGTTGATCATAGCGATGGCGACGGCACGCTTGGCTGGTGGGCGCGGGAACGATGAAGAGATCCACGAGTAGAAGACGATGAATCCGGCGTAGGATGACGCCTGGAGGAACAAAGCAACGTAGCGGCCAGCAGTGTTCGATGTAGCCATGGAGATGACAAACCCAACGATTCCGAACATGATCGGACCAACGATATGCCAGAAACGTTCTTGCTGGCGATCGGCGTGCCACGCGTTGATGAGAGATACGACGCAAGCGAACGCCCACGGAGGTGCAGACATGAGCAGCGTGGTGATGTATCCGAAGCCGAGGGTCCTCGTGAGTGTTGGGAAGAAGGCGTTGAATGACAGTCCAACGACGTATGCAGTAAACGTCAACATCATGACATAGATCTTGACATCCTTGACAGCCATGTAGAGACCAGCGAAAGCAGATTGCTCGGCGGAATCTTCATCTGCTTCGCCTACATCCTCTGTCATGCGCAGAACAGCAACGGCGCGTTCTTCCTCGGTGAAACCCTTGGAGTTATGCGGGAGATCCGGCAAGATCCATATCGCGCTGATAGCAATCACCATCGTCGCCGCACCCTCAATCCAGTACAGCCACCTCCAAGCTCGGTGTCCAAGAACGCCTTCCATGTTTCCTAGTACAGCGGCTCCGACCAAGGAGGAGAAGGCGTTGGAAATCAGGTTTCCGCAGAAGAGAATGGCGTTGCGGAGTGTGAGTTCGCGGCGCGTGTACCATTTTGAGAGAATGAGGAGCGCTCCGGGCAGGAAGGCGGCTTCAACGAAACCGATGAAAAAACGGATGGCTACCATGCCGGCGAAGTTGTTGACATTACCCGAGAGGGTGGAGATCATGCCCCAGATCAACATAACGACGGCGATGTAGAGGGACGGTCTTGGTATTTTGTTGATAATCATGTTCGATGGCACTTGCATCAAAATGTATCCAACGTAGAGAATACTCAGACATGTCGAGTACTGTGTTGGAGTGAGACCAAGATCTTCCTCAAGACCACCGAGACGCGCTGCGGCAATGTTGTTTCGGTCGAGGTCTGGTTGAGAAGAAAGGTTAGCGAAAAGCGTCTTTCGTATCCGACGCGGTCAACTTACAGTTCATGATGTAGATCAAGACGAAAAGCGAACACCGTGCATCCAGCTTCCGCTTCAACTTCTTCTCAACTTCCTGTCTCCTCTCCGGACTCATGTTGGCAGCGAGACCACCAGGCTTCGTGTGGTGCTCCGACACCTGAGCCGCATCTTGGGCGGAGATCTTGTCGTCTGCGGGATATTGCGTCGACGCCATCTTCGCGATCCTCTTCTCTTGTTCTGCAATGGACGAGATGCGAGAAACCTCGATAGACGTTCCATACAACTCTGGGGTCCCCTCTTAATATACCAAAAAGTCGGAGATACCGACTCCCACTACCCGCTTCCCATTACGGGGCCCTCCAGATTATTTACCACCCTACCCCACTATCTTGGCCTGCATCGAACCAAACACCGTTACATGGTGTGCGCGCATACCCCAACGAGAACGTGCATATACGCGCCCCAGTCATTCTATCAAAATTTTCTAGTAAAACCAGAGTGTTGGTATGGGGTGTGTCAAGCGCACGATTCAGGTCATGTGTGGGAAGAAAGCGGCGATTGTTGGCGTTTGGCGTCTGGCGTCCTTGCCCGCATATGTGCTCTTCCCCGCATTAGTCGTAGTGCGCCATTGGACGACTAAATCTTCTTCCTGATAGTTCATATCCGTTGACTCGTTTCCCAGCTGGCCCAGCATCTTGGCCCGGGGTTTTGGCGACACTTGACATGTCCAAGATGTCGCCCAAGAAAACACTTGACATATGTTGCGCGGGATGGGCTTGCTTCCGTGGGCTTGGTTCCTGTTAACGCCTGGGGATGGGTGCCCGGTAATCGATGCCGGCTTCTGCGCATTGGCATCAGACACCGAGCCGACTGTCGCGAGCCAGTATCCATATCCGATGACCGCGCTTGCGCGTTAATGCATCCCGAAGCGAACTACCAGTGCCGCCCCCCAACAAACGGGACGGCGACGGGTTCTGAACAGCGGATTTTGAGCCGCAAGTCTGACGTCGCTGTCGCATGCAGATATCGAGTTCAGTGCTCGGGGAAACAGCCATCTACGTCGCACCAAAGTCGCTGGAGCGCAAACAAAGAAGGCTCATTCGCTACCCGAGTATCGTGCCCCGGACCATCCCTCCTCCATTCCCCATAGCGGAGACGTCAATCCTCCAATGCGCGCTTTTTCTCCGCTCACATGAGCCGCACGTTCACCGCCCTGGTCCAGCCGGTACCCGTCGACAAAGCTGGAGTGGCTGCATCTGGAGATACCACCGATGTACGTGAATCGTCGGCGGACAGCCAAGGCGATTGCCTCCGCGGTACAACTTCGGATCGGAGCTTCATGTGGGTCGGTCTTTGGGGTCGTTGCAAGCATGGTGGAAGATGGTGGTGGTGTGATGGATTGATTACTGAGATCTTTTGGTTTCCATGGTTTTGGAGCCGGGGTCGAGCTTCCTTCCATGAAATTAGTGTAATTGGAGTTTGGAGTTGTCGCGTGAGGGCGTGCTAGCTGAGAAAGAGGAAGGAGCATGGAGATCTGGATGTTGGTTTCGGAGATAACAACACATGGAAACTCCTTACTCCATTCTACGTCTAGCTGATTATCGTTAGAGACCTTGGGACGAAGCCCATGACGGAGTAGGATGTTACGCGCGTAAGGACTTGTCGCATGGAGGCGCGCCGACCAAGGCAGAGACACAGCATGAAGATGCGGACAGTTCCTTTTGGGTATAGCAACATATCAATAATTCGGTCAGTAAATTGGAACTTTAGAAGTGCTTTCCATTCTTCTATCGTCAAGAATAAAGCTTTTTGGGAGACGAGTGGCGTTTGGTATGCAGACTTCTCGCGTGAGGATGCGCTAACTGAAGGAGAGAAAGAGCATGGCGAGTTCGGCTTTTGAATGCAAGAACAACAGCTCATGATGAGATTTCGAGCTTCCAAAGGATAGATATGATTTTATATCTTCTTCTTGACTGAGAGCTGACAGCTTAATTCCATGTTTATACGCTCGAACGTGTTTGACGAGGTGGCAGCGAGTTTGTATAGCATAGTGGCGTACTGATCAATTGAATCTCTCGAGAGGCTCCTGAAGTGGCCCTCTTTATGTTTTGGAGCATAAGATTCATCAGGGTCGCTTTTGGGGAACGACGGACGGACGCAGAACATGTGGCTTTTTGGTTGAAGTTTTGCAGAATGTAGTAAAGGAAGTGTATGGAAGGAGTATCTCTTTGTGGAGAGCGGAGAGTCTTTTATAGCAATCTTGCGACTGCTGACCCAGACCACACAGTTCACTTTCTGGATCACAGATTCAGAGGTATAGGTCCAGTATATGAGAACCAAAAAGCCGAAGATCTTGGCAGCATGATCTTACTCATGACATCTTCCTAGGTCTCAGTCCGGTCACATCCATGGTATGCAAAACTAAAGTTTTTGGTAACTCATGATACGAACATATCTAAGAAGAACGTCGTATTGAAGACAGATAATCCAGCAATATATTCATATTTCCCAGTGTTTTAGACCTTCACCATTCGACCGAAGACATCTTGTGATTGCGCTGTCGTTTTCGTGTTTTCTCAAATTTAGAGAGCGTCAGAAATAGAAAATGAAAAAATAGAAGAAGCTTGAGAGTCTAGGATTGCCAAAGCAAGACATCTCAATTTGGTTCAGATCTCGAGCGGACCGCAAACATTGCAAAGTGGTGATTGGTTTTTGGTATCTTCTCAAGTGAAAAGAAGTGTAGAAAGAAGAGAGTCGGCGAACGGAAGACTGTCACAGCGTATGGCAGCAAACAACTGAATTTCTTTCCTTCGAACTCAGCCCCACAAAAAACATGGGCACACAATGATTAGGTTTTGGTACTTCGCAAGTTGACATGGGTATCAGAGGATAAGGTTGAGTGAACCGGAGAGATTGATTTTCCATTTGGAGAATAATTTTTAGGGTACGTCGAGAGCTGTCCAGGATATTTCGATCCGAGCGGCTTTTTGGATAAGATCAGACCAGGAAAGGCTTTTCATAGTGATGACAAGTGAGGTCTCTTGGCAGGGGTCTTCGAATATGTCTAAATAGAGTTGTTGAAGGCTGTTGGTCGTCTTCTCTCGTGTACTACAATCAGAAAACCTTTCGTAAAGAAAGTCGGCAGCGAGAAGCAAACGTCTGCAAATGGCGCAGGGTTTTGATTCCGAAAGGTCAGGATTGAGCGATTCCATGAGGGCTGATGTGAGTTGGTCGGGATAGTAAACAGAATATGTCTGGATGCTGCCAGTGATCGTTTTAGAGAAAAAGAAAGGGATAGTGGTCATAAAGGTGAGTCCATGTTTTTTTTTTGAGAAGCACCCAAAGAGTGGGTGTAAAGGAGGAAGGAAGCATGTGGAGACAATGTAAGGCTTTTATACATGTCCTCAATGTCCTCTCAGTACGCGGCTATCAGTCTTTCCTTGTTTGTATGTTTGCCGGCGACATTCCCTTCCGCAGAAACATGCCGTCTCGTAGCAATATTTTTGAGACACGCAAAGCCAGCCATCCATCATCTCGAAGAGGTACAAGCCATGAGTTGAATTGCGGAAGATTGCTGGAGGACACATGATGATGGCAGCTTGATTTTTCAGTAGCCACCGCTAAGAAGAACATGAGACATGAGAGTGTATCTTGGTTGTCTTGGAGAGGAGCTCGAAAATAGCCATGGCGAGGTGGCCATTGTATTTCAATATCTCAAGCGATTGGCAAGAGACAGCAAACCGAGAACACGCACACCAGCGGGAACTGTATTGAAGAGGGTGCTCCGCAAACAAGCCATGGGAATTTTGAGTTGCGACTTTTGGTGTTTCATGTGGTCGGAAAGAAGAACAGGAGACATAATACGGACTCTAAATGTTTTGGAAAGAAGGCTCGAGGAAAAAATAGCATGTTGTACGACGACCCGTTTTGATCCCTTGGGTGGTCGGTAAGAGAAGAGCAGAAAACATGTAGAGAGCCCTCAGCAGTTTTGGAAAAGAAGTTTCGAAGGACGAGTCATGGCGGTACTGCTAGTATTTTTGATGTTTGGAGAACAGGAGTAGTTGTAGGGGAAAGAAAAAGTAGGTGAGCTTCGCGAAATTTATATACACTCCCGCCGAACATGAGATGGCGATATCCGCCGTGTGAGTCACGAGTGACACGCATCAAGTCTTCGTTCCGTATTGTACATGGCGACCTATCTACAGCCATTTTAGTGAACCATAGTCTCCAGTGTGCCCACAGGCCTCTCCACAATATCGATACATCCATCCACGATGCTCTGCCTTGCTGGCTCACTGCTAACATTCTGGCCACCCAGATACAATAGCCAGACCAGCCTGCCAACCCTCTCATCTCTAACCTCGCCCAACCAACTGCTCTTGCCCATGACCTCCTGCTTGCTATTCGCTGCCTTCACAATAGGTTGGTACAGCGCACCTAGATGCCCGTTCTTATTCCGTGTCAGGATAATGACACTACCCTTGGGCGCTTTGCCCTTTCCCTGGAAGAGGTTCCTGAACTCCTTCATCGCCAGGCCAAAAGACTCATCCTGGAACTCGCCCTCCTCAACCGGCTTAGGCAAAGAAATGGATTTGTTCTCGGCAGCCTGCTGTCTGATCAACTCAGCCTGTTTCCTCCTCACTTCATCCGTGCGCGACGCAATTCCGCGCATCCAGCCATCTTGCAGATGCTTGAAGTCTGTGCCGCGGCAGGGTACAACTCGGAATGCCATGTCAACACCATCCATGCCGTTCTTGGCCAAGATGGACTCCCAGATCTTGTTGCTCTTTTCGGGGTCGAGCAGGGACTCGCGGAGGTCCTTTTTCTCATTAGGGATCAGGGCAGAGGCGGTGGGGTTTACGGTGTTGATGAGGTGGTTTTGGAGGGTAGAGAGGTCGGCGGTTTTGACGTAGAGGCCCACAACGTAGACTTGGACACGGAGGAAGGAGACTTTCCGGATGCCGAGACCGAGGAGTGTGTATTCGGCGTCGGTAGTGATGGCTTCAGGACCTGAGGTGTCTGTAGGGAGACGGATGGTGCGTGGGAAGTAGGGGACGTAGGATGTGCCTGTTTCGACGAGCTCGATGGCGTCGGGATCTGAGGCTTGCGGGTTGTCGGTGCCGCCTGGTGTTGCGATGACTTTGTCGCCTGCCGCGATGACCACCTTCTTTCCTTGGAACTCTTCTGCCGCCTTGCGCGGTGCGTCGTTCTGGATGGGTGGGCCCATGATCCTTTCTACGATGCCCCGGCGTGGCTCTTCACCTTTCTCTTCTAGCGGCGGTACGTCCCATAACCTGACGAGGAAGATGGGTGCAATCATGGACAGTGCAGCACCCAGAGCGAGCCAGTTCCGCTTTTTTATCAATTGAGCACGACGCATCGCCTCTGCGCGATGTACCGAGACGAAGTCCTCATCTGGGCGAGGAACCTTGGGGCGGGCGCCTTGCTTGAGTATGGCTTCAAGATCTGCCCTACTGGAGCGCGTGTTTTGGCGAAATTGGGGGTTGGAGCGGAGGGGCGCAGGCGTGTTGAGGCAGCGGAATACTGGCCGCCGAGCGGCGTGTCTTATCGAGTTCATGGTGGCTGCATTGACCGGGTGATGTGGTGAGAGAGAGTGGAGCAGCTTGGACCAGGGCTCGATGATGTCGTCGCCGGTCTGAAGCGAGCACTTTAGCGTGGCTTTCACTGCGGCGCGTCGCGTCGGCCCTACAGAGTAAATCTACAGCCCACCTTGCAAATAGGTCAACGCTCGACACCCCGCCTTTGCGGCTTCTAGACGACACAACATGCCTCCACATAGACCAAGACGAGCGGAAGAAGCGACCCCGACCCCCACACAAACCCAACGGCGCAGACGAGATGATACACCCGAAGAAGACGAGGATGTCGACATGGACGAGGCAATGAACCAGGGCAGCGGCAGCGTTGACCAGCTGGCAAAAGGCTTGGTGCGATATGCCCTGTCGTGCGAACGTTCACGGAAGCCTATCAAGCGCCAAGATATCAATGTAACGGGTGGGCGCATTGGAAACCACATATGACACGGGACTAACAGTGGCAGTACTCGGTTCAACATACACTCGACTATTCAAGGATGTCTTCGCACAAGCAAACAGTCAGCTCATGGACGTCTTCGGCATGCAGTTGGTCGAACTGCCCAGAGCGGAGAAGGTGACACTGCGACAGAAGCGCGGTATGCAATTCATCACCACTGTGCTGTCTCTGACCTGACTTCTCTCAGCTGCCGCTGCCTCGGATTCCCAAAGCAAAAACACAAGTATTTGGGTTCTGCAAACCATCCTCCCCGACCAATACCGTATACCCGACATCATCGGCCCTTCGCGACCAATCGAAGAAGACATAAATCGAGAAGACTCGTACGTGGGACTATATACCATGGTCATCGCCCTTATCACAATCCACGGCGGTCTGATACCAGAGGGCAAGCTGGATCGCGCCCTCAGACGTATGAACGCAGATCAGACGACGCCCATGGGGACCAAGGACAAGACGCTCGCGAACATGATCAAGGATGGGTATATTGTGAAGGTCAAAGACACCCAGAACGGGGGCGAAGAGACGATAGACTATATCGTTGGGCCCCGAGGCAAGATGGAAGTCGGGCGGGATGGTGTCGCGCAGCTTATACGGAAAATATTTGGGGACAGCGAGGATGGGGACGAGCTGGATAAGAAGATTGAGAGGACGCTGCAGGTGGCTGGCGCGAATGACGATGCTGCGCCGTCGGTTGAGGCGGCCAACGTTGCATCGCAGGCGAACGGACGGAAACGTGGGCGGCCGAGAGGCGAAGGCGACGAGTAGGCTGGAGTCGAGCAGTCTGTTGGCGTTATGGAGAAGGAGACGACCTAAGATACCCTGTATAGTTGTACTGCATTATTCTTTGCCTCGAAACTCTGGCGATGCTAGTCGTGTTAGTGATGGTAGGTAGCTCCAAGCTCCCCTCGGAAGGATTCGAGGTTGCATCATCGGCCCAGCAAGCGCCAGAAATTGCCAACAACAAAGACACGACACCAGAGGAAGGAGAGGCTGATGGTGCAGTGCATGTGCTTGGATGGGTAGTTCCTTCCCCATTTGTCAGCGTCACGAGGTATTGGGCAAGCGCGACCCGGTGTTGAGCAATGGCTGCATGCAATCAAGGCTCACTGGAGCTTCGCTGCCGCCCCTCAAGCGCTTCTGCGCGCCAAGCTGATTGAAACGGCTCTATTTTCCACACCAACCGCCTTTGCGCCATCTTTCTCCTCATTCTCTCGTTCTCTCGCTCTTTGCCCTCGCCGTACGCATCCCCACCTCCAGCGCCATACTCCAAATCTGCAATGACTGCTTGAGACAATGAGCAGCATCGACTCCCTCCTCAACCCCGACGCTGGCCTCCGCCGCCCGTCTGTCACCAGCCCGACCGCGACGCCTGCCGACGACGCTGCCGATGCCCTGACGACACTGGCAACTTTGGGCAGCGGGCAGCAGTTCGTGCCCGCCCCGACGCGCGAGCTGCCCTCGCCAACTGCCTCATCCCACGCGCCGCGACGCACCAGCAGCTTCGGTTCCCACCACGCGCCTGTAGAGCCCTCGCCACCCCTCGAACTGCCCCAGGCTCGCTCGCCGACCCTGGAGCACTATCACCATGGGTCAAATTCGCCAGAAGAGCAAAAGCGACGGCAATCGCTGCTGTCGAGAACATCGCCCGCCCCAGTGCTCGCGCCTATACAAAATTTGTCCACAGCCCTGCAAGAACAGACCCAAGACGAGAAGGCGTCAACACCTATCGGCGAAGATGTGTCGCAAATTGTACCACCGGATCATGGCGGTGAAAGAGACAGCACCCAGCACCGCGAGCCTGCATTCGTGCGCGACGAACCAACAACTTCACAGATCCGCGAGCCTGAAGCGGCCAATAGCACACTACAGCCGGGTTCAAGTTTGCACAACGGCGACAAGCTGCCTTCACCGCAGCCTTTCATCAAGGACGAACCCTCTGGCACACCACGCGAACACACACCTGCAGTCATTGCTTCTCAATCCGAGCGACAAGGTTCTGTTACTGGCGAGAACATGGATGCCGATGCGCTCAAGGCGCTTGAGATTGCCAAGCAGAGCGACCTTGGACTACGGAGACGGAACCAGAGCGTTGCAGAGCGGTCAGAACGCGTACAATCACCCGTGGACTCGAAACCAGCACCTGCCCCGACCAAAAAACGACCAGCGCCAGCATCAGCCCCTGCTATTAAAAAGAAGGGTACAGCAAAGACGTCGAAGCCCAGCAAGAAGCGTAAGGTGGAGACGGAAGATGGCGCAGCACGGTCAGTCACGCCTACCTCGAGGATACCAAAGTCGGCCAGCAGGGCTATGAAGAGGGGCTCGCATGCCGGCACACCCGCTCCTGGATCTCCACCCGCACAAGACCGATCCGACGATGAAGGCGATTCATCTGAAGACCACAACCTGTACTGCATCTGTAAGAAACCGGACAATCACAAGTGGATGATTGGGTGCGATGGCGGTTGCGACGACTGGTTCCATGGCGACTGCGTAAACATGAAACAAGCGGATGAGCAACTAGTCGACAAGTTTATATGTCCTCAGTGCGAGGAGAATGGCAGGGGCAACACAACATGGAAGCCAATGTGCAGGCGGGAAGGCTGTCGAAAGCCTGCCAGGGTAGGGAAGGACCGAGAAAGCAAGTACTGCTCTGACGATTGCGGAGTCCTCTTTATGCAAGAACAGCTTCAACGGACAGCAGGAGCAAAAGGCGCCAATGGAACAAAGGAAAAATCTAAGAAGAAAAAGAGAGTCGAGGAAGAAGAAGAACCAACCCCTCTTGGCGGCACCCTCCGAGCCAAAGACCTCAAAGCCCTTGTCGACGCCTCGCCAAACATCCAAACCTTCAAGAACCTAGGCACCGGCGTTCTCACACCTCCACAAACCGCTTCGCCATCCCGCGCAACCTTCCCCGCCAACGGCGAAGACCTTTCCCTTACCGCTGGCGAGATCGAACGTTTGACCGCCCTTCACAAAGAGAAGACGCAACTCAAAGATCGGCTAGAGGTACTCAAAGACCGCGAGAAGTTTGTCAGCATGGCCAAGGAACAAGCTGTTCGCCTCGCCGACCGCGAGAAGATCAAGATGAAGGATTTCTGTGGTTACGACAGCAGATTATCATGGTCCGATGCTGAGTTCCTACTTTGGCGGAATAGCAAACACGGCCGCGCTGCCTTCCACCACTCCACCCTGAATCCCACCCCAGAACAGATTTCTTCGACGCCGACGCCTGCGGACGGCGCGGATGCAATGGACATTGATGGTGGCGTAGATGGAGAGGAGAAAGACACAGCCTGTTTGAAGAAGCGCTGCCAGAAGCATCCTCAGTGGCAGAAGCTTAACCTGCAAGATGCCAGATTTGAGGAATTGGAGGTTGTTGAGGCGATCAAGGAGTGTGAGAAAGATGAGCGATCCGTACGGGATCGTGCGAGAAGAAGAGGCGCAAAGGATGGTTTGGCGAAAGAACTCACTGGTGGCGAGGACGGGACCAAGGTGGAGAGGAATAGGGATGGATGGGTTGAGGTTGTTGGTTCGTGACTGACATGACCTCGATCGATTGTTCTTGTCAATGGATGGACGATATTGGAACGGAATGAAAAGCTTGGATAAGGCATATACCCCCCATTCCTTTCGATGCGGTATCTAAATATTTGGGCGTTTTTTCTTGGAGGTTATGGGAAAAATTTAGCGACAACGCTTTGGGCAACTCATGGTTCTTCGCGACTCACAAACTTGGTTATACCATTCATATCGGATAGCGATTTCTCATAGTTAGTGTTAGTATGGTTTAATGACTAGGCTTATTCTTCAGGCTGGGTTTTCTGGTGACGACGATCTTGTATCACCTGAGAGAGGCTACAACGAGTTTTCAGAACTCGGAAGCCGTCAACTAGGGCGAGGTGACGTTGGACACATTGCCGTATCGCTGTGTCGATCAGGTATAAAATCTTCCTTTGCTTTCTTCTTTCCCTTCCTTCTATCATGCATTCATAATTCTGTGTTACCCCCCCCCCCCCCCCCCAAAAAAAAAAAGCGGACTTCGTTCTATGGTGTTCTCCAAAAGCACAGCATCCGCAATATCGACCTTCCCTGGCCTTCTTTTCGGCTGCTCAAAATAAGATTGCAGACACTTCATGTGTGGCGGCAGAGCTCTGGTCGACATGCAATAAAATCGATACTTCCTACAGCCATGGTTCAAGCAGATCTTCTCTTTCCAGCGATCATACATGAATACCGTCTGCTTCGTCAACTACTTCTCTAATTCCCTATGCTTGGGAATCTGGTTCTTCAAAACCCGAACATGAAGAGAACATGGAGTTTCTGGAAGGACAACCTAGATAAGGCATCATCTTCGCTGTCTTGTTCTTCGTCCAAAAGACAGAGGACTATACTATATGTGCGTGTGTAGTACAACAGTGTTCCTCCCTCTTCTTACTGGATACGATGATAACGCTACTCATTTTGTTGCTCTTGACATGATCATTGATATACCATAACCGACCAAAGCGAGAGACAATAGTTTAGCTCAGAGAAAACACCAGGGGGTTTGGTGTCTGCCTCCTGAAAGACGAAAAAGAAGATAATATGAGAGAGAAGGCAGAGGAGAGTCAATTTAAAGTATTGTCATACAGAAACGGTGCTCCGAAAGGGAAATGTTCTGTTTGAGAGATTATGGGTATAAGAACGATCTTTCGCCAACCAAGCTGCAAGCCTCTATCAACCTCCAACTCTTCATTGTTCTAAAACAAAAATAACTAACTACCTTACGATGGGGTGAGACTTCCTGTCTTCCTCTTGTTTACATATAACACTACCCGTTCATGATCACTGGATTTTGCTTCCACACCACCTCCAAATCCTTTCTACTCCAGAAGACAAACACATCAATACATGGAGACTGGAAATATCGACGCTTTCGATCATGCTACAAACTGCCTGGTGTTCGTGGGCTCGCAATAAGATTTGCCGTTTGCCTACTGGACGTTTACTGCTACACCAATGTCCTTCCGCAAGTCTTTCCAAGGAAATCCTCGTATTTGTTCCATGTGGACTGCAAAAAGTGATTGCCCAGACCAACGTGATGGATCTGGCTGTCTGCCTTCTGCGAGTATAAATGATCACCTTCCGACAACCAAACTATTACTCCAATACCAACTTCAAAGTTTCTTCTTTTTTTTTAAAAAAAAAAGGATAGGAAGATTATATGATGGAGGTTCAAAGTACGAGCAGCAAGAAACATGTTGCGAGACGATTTGTCCTCTTCCCACTAGCATAAAGCGCTATATTCGCCAGCCACCTCTCAGCTTCCTATACCAATCTTCAAGTTTTCAGATTTCTATCACTCAACGCGTCGAATCCATGGGAATTCGAAGTAGGGATGAGTTACTGACATGCTGGACGGCATTTTTCTGTTTGCACATATGTCATGCTCAACATTTTGGATTGTACCCACAAGACATGTCCTGTGCCCATCTGCTCCCTTCTGGTTGGATACAAGTCTCTGTCTGACAGCCGAGCTATCTTTGTCTCATCAAGAATCATGACCCGAAACTCTTCAGAAACTTTTCTCACTTTGTTCGATGGAAGTCAAAGAAATCGAGAGCGACTGGGGTAGAGTGAATTAACTGGTTTGCTCATGTAAAAACAAAATGGCTGATAGAAGGACTATGCGTGAGAAGACATTTGGAATTATGAATTTCGATTGAAAGCCCACATTCGGGCAAGTGTGTCGATTTCCTGTTATCCATGGAAAGGTACACTTGGGTCACAATATAAAAACCATACACTAGTGACCAGAATCATATCTCCTACCCCAACATCCAAATGTCGTTATTCCAAACGAGATACGAACCAAATGGCATGTGAGTTCGGAATGAGATTTACAATTGTGAATTTTGAAGAAAAGAATGGGTACAGAAAGCGCCGAATGCCGAAATCATGGTCTTCGTTTGTCGTCGCCAGCCGATTGGAGGAGAAGACATGTTCAAAACAAGCTTAAGACATTGACCCGGCTAGATGGTGCCCCAATAGTATAGGGATATTGATCTTGATAAAAAGCCAACCAGGAACACGCTGCCTATCCATATCTGTTCGTGGCACATGACTGAGCTCTGATCTAACTCGGTGTCTCGAACACCGAGTCTGAGCTGCACATATACAATCGTATCCAGTAACCTTACGCTCTTTCTCTTGTTCTTGTAAACCTTTTGTTATGACCGACACAAGACAAAAAGCGCTTACGAAAGACCAGAAAGCTCTGGATATACGTTTGACGCCTGGAACGAAGAAGTGACAGTGCCTCCAGCCCATACCTCTGGCTGGCTTTCCCTCGCCCTGATTAGTGGAATTGCACCTCGAGAGCTAGCATGGTCATGATATCTTTGGGGTGCTCGTCCAAGGCCCATAGCTAAGCTACAATTGACTTTGAATATTCTCTGTTCAAAACCATCATCCGTATATGAAGCATTCTTTCGTAGACTTCTAGGTTCATACCTTCTATACCTGCAAAAGAGTGTGATTACGATTAAGATATCTTGCAAGCACAGCTGTAGAGAAGGGGAAGAGTCTAGAGGGAAGATGTGCTTCCGGTTTTGTAGTGACTGAAAGGCCGTGAATCCTTCCGCGGGCATAACAATCGGCGAGTTATTCCCAAATGGTGGCGTAGGGAATTCCTGGAGCTGGAAATGAAGAGGAAGAAGAGTGGAGTTAGCGTCACACGTGGCCACGTTTTGGAGGCGCCTGTGACACTCGGCCTAGCGCAAAAGACGTCACATTAGGTTATGTCACTTCTCAGTCGCTTCCCTATCCGCCTTTTAGACTTTCATCCAAATGCGACATCGCCCTGGTCTCTGATCGATGCACACCGAAGTCGCGACCTACACGGCGGCAGGATTACTCTGGGAATAAGCTGTTGAGCTAAATATTAGTCAAAGCGCATACAGCGTGTCGACTTCCCAAGACGTTTATAAAGTTTGAACTCGGACGACCCCTTGCCGACCCCCCAGTCAAGATGCCAGGCTGATGTCTAGGCTCGACGATGCTTAGCCTACTAAGCGCCACACTAAACCGTTCCTCGGATCAGCGGGACCCGCAATGATCAACGCCACCATACTGTGTAGAGCAAGATCGACCAAGGTTGCCCACCGTCTCCTGCATATTGTCTCTCCGCTTCCGCTACTTGCACCCTTAATGCATCTTTAACTCCTTCTCGAACCTGTCTGATGTCGCAACAGCATGTTCCGCGCTGCAAGGAGTTAGCACTTGCTTTTTTCGATAATCTCCGACCTCACATCTTACATATCTACGCATCTACCATCCACATCAGGTACCTCCACCGATGCCGAATACCCTTGTTCATTTGCCGTGCTTGAGAGCCGAGGCTCAATGCCGATCGACGACAAGGAGCAACAATTGGCGTCCTCATTCTGGCCATTCCGGCATGCTGTCGAACCGCAACGAGCAGGCAAGTATTCCGAACAGGGTAAAACAGAATGATGCGGACGAGGTTGCTGAGTCGTCAAGACATTGGCCCGCCGGGTGAGGCGCACCAAACATCTGCACCATTGTAGTCACCATCCACAGCACGATCAGTTCGGCGTGTCTTGCTATTGGAGGTGTGAGGCTACGCCCCCACTTCATGGCTGTTTCGAGTAAAAGCCTGGGATGAAATGTTCCCAGTCGCGTTCAAGCAAGCCATGAGTATGACGATGTTTCGCAAGTTCTCGCCGCCACACCAACATCGGTATCCTGGAATCGTCGTACGATGCAAATAACCTCGACGTCATGCCGTTGAAGACACAGCAAGCTCCAGTCAAACCACCTATACCTTCCTTTTCCGTTGTTGGTCTCCAAATTGAAGGGAACCAAACGTTTATGCGGGTAAGACGGTGACAGTCGATTGAGCATGGCGTCGATCAAGAGACTACGGGACAGATGCCTACGACCATCTCTAGTGCTCCGAGCGCATGTATGTTCTACCCCTTCAGGTATAGAGAGATGCCTGGGGATCGGCCAGTGAAACGCGCTAAGAATCTCTGCCGAGGTGACATGGCATATCGACAGTGCTTTTTCCTTACCCACACGGCATGGTAACAGATGTGAACTGGATATATAAGGGAGTCTGGATCCTCGTTGATATATATGATCACCACCTTGACAATACGGTAACTCAATACAGTCGCTCTACTTCTACTTCTATACACATCTTCTTCACCACCTTCAACATGCGTTTCTCAGCCATCGTTCCTGCCACTCTTTTCGCCTTGGCTTCCGCCGCTCCAGTAGAGGAAGTCAAGCGTGCCGCCTCTTCGTCTTGCCCCTCATACACTATCATCAACACCCGCGGTACTGGCGAGCTCCAAGGCGAATCTGCTGGTTTCCGTACAATCAACTCCCGCGTCCGCGCTGCTGTCTCCGGAGGCAAGACCTACAACACTGTTTACACTGCCGACTTCTCCCAAAACAGTGCCGCGGGTACACGAGACATTGTCAACAAGATCACTACCACACTGGCCTCTTCACCAAAGGAATGCTTCATCCTTGAGGGCTACTCTCAGGGTGCTCAGGCCACCGTGAACGCCATGTCTCAGTTGACTGGCGCCAAGTTCGACGCTGTAAAGGGTGTCTTCCTCATCGGTGACCCAGCACACAAGTCTGGATTGGCGTGCAACGTGGATAACAACGGTGGCACCACCACCAAGAACGTCAATGGACTTTCCGCAGCACTCGGAGGAGGCATCCCATCCAACTGGGTTGCCAAGACGCTCGATGTTTGCATCTTTGTATGTATCCTGTTGTTCATGTCATGTTACAAAATTACTAACGCATTTGTCAGGGTGACGGTGTATGCGACACTACACACGGTGCGGGTATTAACGCTCAGCATCTTCAGTACCCCAACGATGCCCCTACCCAGAAACTGGGTACTGACTACATTACCAAGGCGCTTGGTGCTTAGGGTGAATGTATCGGAATGAGATGAGTGTGCGTTACATTTCGGTTATTGTTCCGTGTATGGGCTTACGGACACTCTTTCTAAATGTATATATTTATTCGAATGACATAAGGTGCAAATGCTCAGTTACTGAGAACCAAACGCTGGAATATGCTTGTGTGAACGTCGCGGATACTCGCCACTGCTGTGCGCGTTCTCAGTCCCCCAAGTCTAAATCTATCGGAGCTGACGTACGCGTGTCATTGAACCTTTCACAGCCATCATAGTCATCCTCTACAGGCCCTGCTCTTCATTAAGTTTGATGCCCTTCTCGACCAATCCCTCAATCCATACGTTAAAGTCTTCCCTCATCTCCGCCGGCAACACATGCCCCTGCCCCTTGATGAAATGCTTCTCAACCTCACCTTCCTGCCAGATATCCTCCTCTTCCTCGATACCCAACCAGTTCTCCTTTCCGGTCGGGCCCTCCCCCCTCTCCAATCCTCTCCAAAGCACAACACCCAATGGGAAAGTCAACATGCGATCCTTGGTGCCATGGATAACCATGATCCTGTTCTTGCCTACAGTCTTTGCAATCTGCTGCAGTTGCTCCGGGCTCTTGTGGTGCCACCCCGCGGCGATAGCTTGTAGCATGAATCCAGCCTTACCAAAGTACTCGGGATGTGATCGTTTCCAGATTTCGTTTGCAGCGAAACGGTCACCGTTTGTAGGAAAGGCTTGGACGACAGGTTCGAGAGTGTCGGGCGCGTCGAGCCATTGCTGTGTGTAGAGGTTCTTCTTTACGCCTTCGATTTGGGCATCGAGAGATTTGGGGATGAAGAGATTGGCTCGGTTCCAGAGGTTTTCGATGAAGCCCTGCGAGGGTTAGCTAATCTGCGAAAGTTTGCTAGGGTTGGGGCGTACATTTGTTCTGAATAATTGTGCAGCTGTGGATACGAGCGAGAGTGTGCAAATCCGTTGTGGTATCAACATGGCCTAGACTATTATTAGCGCTTAGAGGTTCTACAAATTTCTAGCTGATCGAAATGGGATTTTTTGCTGCAATCATCATGATCGGCATGCATAGACGATCATATGTGCGGCATTGACGAACAGGTGGGGGCGGGGTAAAGTTGAGCGGGGCGGAAGCTCAATGTACCGTTGAGATTACAGGATGATGCTGGGTATGAGAAATGTTTGAAGCTTTAGTCGACAACACTTGAGAGAATTTGTGTTCAAAGACGGAAGGTATAGCATCCGATCCGAAGACGACTACTCCACCAGTACATTTTGTGTGAATGACGATGGAGAGATGAATGGACTCACTATTTCCTGGGCAATCATGCCACCCATGCTTATACCAATCACGTGTAGTTCACGGTCACCGGTCCAGCCGACATGATCGAGAACTTCGACAATGTCTTGGGCCATGGCAGATGTAGAGTATCTTGATGTGGGCTTGTCGGAGTCACCAATACCCCGGTTGTCAGTTACTAACGACGAGTATTGGTCGCCTTTGGTGTGGCCAAAGTCTTTTGTCTGACGCTGCCATGCGTATTTCATGCCACCAAGGCCCATGACCCACTACATAGTGTCAGTTATTGACTCTTGTTGTAACAAAGCACAAGCGCCACGTTGACGTGAATGTAGAGACGGAAGATGCCGAGAACGGTTAAGGGCTGAATGCAGAAAAGTACGTATTCGTTGCGTACTCGGCAACTTGAGACACGATACATCGTAGTTGAGACGATCAATGCAACTGAAACGAAACAGTGACAGGGTGCCGCTACCTGACGATTGGTAGAAGACAACATTACAAATGCATCCTAGTCAAAGACAAGCTTTTCTTTGGTGCCTGATATGCAGCGCATCAAGTTGGAGAAGATATTAATACCGATAGTGGGGCGACTTACCACGAGGTGTCTGTCGCCATGACCATGGATCTCGTAAGCGATGTTAAGGGGACCGCCTCTGTCCTTGGCTACAACGGCTTTGCCTTTCTTTTCTGGTTTTAGGTCCCAGATAGTATGGGGGTATTCTGGGTGATTTGAAAGTTCCTCAGCAGTCATTGGTGCCATGGCTGATGGTGAGTCTGTGTTTTTTTTTTGCAGGTCTCAAAGATTCTCAAACTAGAACGAGTCAGTACTGAGCATGTAACCGCCCGGTAGTAATGTCAGGAGGGGTGAAGATGCGACGATGCAACGGGTGTGGTGGCGCAGCACGAGGGTAGGCAACGTTGACGGCTTCCTCGATGTGGCTACCGCTCGGCACGTGTCTTTTGGTAGCGGTGTGCCCATAGCGCATCCCGGCACAACCGACAGGTACGCGACCGTTGTGTAAGCTGGAGGGTTGGGGAAAAGCATGTAAGGAATGCTGACGTACTATTCTTGGAGGAGGCGCTTACGGCGTAGCGCGTGAGTTGTCAAAGAGATGTAGAAGTGAAGAGTCAAGGCTAAGAGTGTGCATCTGTGCTTCGAAAGTTGGCGCTGGCGACCGCGTGGGACAGAAGCAATATCACAACGTCATCTCTGCTATTCCGCTTTCAGCCTCAGGTGCGTGGCTCGTGTCTGACTAAGGCTGGACGCGCGAACTACGGACGACGCGGCGTTGCAGTCTGACAGCACTATATTGTAGTAGACGCGGAGAAGGAAAGTTGCCTGGGCGTGTCTTTTGTCCCTGTCAACGCTGTGCCCAGACAAGTAACCGTCGTCACGACAAGACGACGCCACACGACGCTCCCGCATTGGGCTGGTCTTGGTCGTCTGCAACAAGCTTCTGCCTCATCGATAGTCGGCGAGTCTGCGACAGCCATCCTCAGGGCCCTGTAGATGTGACCCTCGGCAGCGTTTCATCTCCCTGAGCACTAGACGCTCCGCCAGACCCCTCCGCACAGCCCGAACCATAGCCGCCCTCACAAAACAACGCGAACCCCCGGATATCCGCCAGGGCCCAATTGCCCTAGGACTTTGACGACTGACGACCTCGCGAGAGCAACACCTAATACGCCATGAATCCCGCCAACAACGGCTTCTACGGGGCCGGCCCGCCCATGATGAACCCTCCACCACCGCGTCTGTTCGGAAGCGGCAGCTACGACCCGTCGCAGATGCCCCCGGGCAACATGTTCGCCCACGACGACATGCACGACGACAACGATGGCAGCGACCCCAAGCGGCGGCGCATTGCAAGGGTACACACTGCGGGCGGCGAGTAGCATAGTGCCATGCTGACAGATGCAGGCTTGCGACATGTGCCGGAAAAAGAAGATCAAGTGCGACGGCAAGATGCCGTCGTGCACACACTGCCAGAACTACAAGACGGAATGCATCTTCACACAGGTCGAGAAGAAGAGGCAACCGCCCAAGGGGTAGGAATCACCATCACCATGACCACGCGCACATGAAGCTGACCATGCATAGCGCCAAGTACATCGAAGGTCTCGAGAACCGACTTGCGCGCATGGAGTCCCTGATGCGCCTCTCCGGCGTCCTCCCCGAAGACGACGACGGCAGCACCGATCTGGCCACACTGGAGAGACGACTCGAAGCAAGAGCTGGGCGATCGGCCACACCCAGGGCCAGCATCGGTGAAAGGCGAGAATCAATGGCACCCCCGACCGGCCAATCCACTGCCAACGGCACACCAGCACAACCAGCTCTCCCCAGCCCGAGGAGCGGTACCGCCTCACCAGAGCCAGAGGAGCACACCGAAAACCCAAAAGACAAGGAAGAGGATGCGCTCGCCGAGATGATGTGCTCTTTGGTGACGAACAACTGCGGAGAGACCAGATATATCGGTATGCTTCCCGTACTTGTTGTTTCTATGCGCTAACCTTTTCAGGCTCATCGTCAGGTTTCTCCATCTTCTCGCCCAAGGGTATACAATGGGTGAATGAAAAGACTGGGGACAACTCTTTCCGCGACATGATCTCTACAGCCGCCGTCGAGGACAACAAGTGGATCCAATGGCGACCCGACGTGTTCCAGGACATCTTCAAGCGTAGAGTCTACAAACAATTGCCGCCCAAGCACGAGGCCCTGTCACTACTCAAGGACTACTTCGAAAACTTCAACTGCATGTTTCCGCTGTTCCACGAACCAACTTTCATGCATCTCGTAGACAAGCACTACTCGAAAGACCCCTATGAAGGATCCGGGTGGTGGGCCAGCTTGAACGTCGCCCTGGCTTTCGCACACCGACTGCGCGTCATGAGCAACCTGGTTCCAGCAGAAGAAGACGAAAAGGCGTGGCAATACCTGAAGAATGCCATGAGTGTCATGGTAGAGCTTACCATGCGCAATACAGATCTCCTTAGCGTTCAGGCTTTGCTAGGAATAGTGCGTATCAGAGACGAGAGCTTCGCCTTGCCCCAACTAACATCTTCCAGGGTCTGTTCCTTCTAGGAACGCCGAACCCACAACCTACCTATTTCTTCGTTGCCACAGCCATGCGGCTTGCACACAGCATTGGTCTCCATAAGAAAGGTGCCAACTTTAGCCTCAACTCCGCCGAGGTCGAGCAACGAAGACGTGTCTTCTGGATAGCCTACATGTTAGATAAAGAGTGAGTCTTTGTAGCTCTCTTAAGCTTGCCTATAGACTAACACCATCAAGCATCTGCTTGCGATCCGGCAGACCACCTGTACAGGACGACGACGACATGAATGTCGAATTGCCTAGCGACACTCCACCAGACAACATCGGGAACATTCCGCTGGCTGACGGAAAGGGCACTATGAACCTATTCCGTCTCATGTGCACCTTCTCCGTGATTCAAAGCAAAGTTTACAAGGGTCTCTATTCCGTAAAGGCATCTAAACAGACCGACGGGGAACTGCTAAATACCATTGGCGAGCTGGACAAAGAGCTAGAAGCATGGAAGGACGACATACCACTAGAGTTCCGGCCAGAGCATGACATCAAGGCATCACATACCCCGCTCATTCTCCAAGTCGCAGTACTGCATCTTGGCTATTACAACTGTTTAACCACCATCCACCGTATGAGTGTACATCACGGATACTGGACTAGTCGATTGTCCAACTTTGCGATACAAGGACTGAATGCTCGACCTCTCAACCCGAGAGTCTTCATGTCCGCCCAACTGTGTGTTCAGGCCGCCCGAGCCTCGATACATCTCCTGAAGTACATACCGAAAGGCGATTTATCTTGTGTCTGGCTAGTGATTTACTTCCCAGTCACTGCATTAGTTACGCTCTTTGCCAACATCTTACAAAACCCACAGGATACGCGATCACGATCGGATCTCAAGCTTATGAAGCTGGTCGTCAACTTCCTGAACATGCTCAATGACGACCAGGGAAGCGGCAGTGTCAAGCGCATGTGCACAGTGTGTGCTGAATTCGAGCGCATTGCTACTATTGTGCTAGAAAAAGCCGATCGCGAACACGCGTCGCGACGGAAGAGGAAGCAAGGCGACAGCGAGCAAGACGCACAAATCGAAGCAACAGCGGCCGAGCTGCTCTCGACGGGTCGTAACGCACACTCGTCACCTCAGCAGGCCACTACTCCACAGAACAATAATCAATCAGAAGGCATGATCTTCAATCCGGACTTCCAGGGGTTCAACGAGGTAGGCTCTACCACTGTGATGCTGAGGTCAATGCTAACATGCGCAGCCATTCCCCTTCTCACCAAACTTCACACACGACTCCTTACAGCCCAATATCCAGATGAGCCAATATGGCTCACCAGGTATCACCGCCCAGATGCTCCAACAATCACAAAGTTTACCAATGACCACTGGTGGTGATGTGAACGGCATCAGCTCCAACATCAACGCCATGGCGGGCATGGGCCAGTTCGACCAGACCTTCAACAACGTTCCACAAGATCTCTGGAAAATGCCAATGACGCTGGAGTGGGACTGGGCAGACATGACTGGTGGATTCTCGGGGTACGAGGACGGGATCAGTATGAACGGCGTTCTTCCAGACTTTTCGAACCAATCTGGCCATGGAACGAGTGAGTTCAACCAGGGCGCTATGAACGGCGGCCGGTGATAGGCCTTTGGCAACTGAGATTGGCGTTGCACAACATCGACCATTACGTCTCCCATCTTCTACACCGTCTGGGCACGTTCTCGCGAGACGCGGCCGATACCATGATCCGACTCCCCTCCAGCACAACTTGGGTGCTTCGCTATATACCATTGTTACCATCCGAAATCTCTTGACGTTCTTGGCGCTTACGACCTCATGGCCTTGTAAAGTAGTGTTTTATCCTAACAGACACATTGTAATAATACAGTTGTGCTCATTAGCTAAGCTTTATCGTGGCGCATGCACACCAACCAAGTCTCGGTAGCCCGTCTGCAAAACTGATCGTAAGCTGAAACTAAGACCGCGCTACGGCCCATGGTCCGGAGATCCTCGCTGTACGCTTTCGTAGCTATGATGCTCACCCGCAGGTTGCTTTTACATCCAAATCCTTGCATTTCTTTCTTTTTACAGTTCTTCGGCCCATCGTGTAGCTCGACCCAACACTCTCTCCCTCCCGGCGAGCTTTGCAATCTTGGTTTGAGATCTAGAACCAGCCCAAGTTTCAGCCACAATGGTCAACATCACAGCCCTACTCTCCTCGCTCATAACAGCGAACCACATCCTCTCTTACCACAACGTCCTCGATCCCTTTGGCCACGTCAGCGTTCGTAATCCAAACACCAATACAACATTCTTCATCGCGCTGCAAATCGGTCCAGCAACAGTGTCCAGCCCCGCCGACATAGGCGAATACCTCATCTCAGATGGCACACCCGTCAACGGCACAGTCGGCGGCTACGCAGAACGCTACATCCATAGCGAGATTTTGAAACGTTATCCGGATGTCAACGCCGTTGTGCACAGTCACTCCGAGGATGTCCTTCCATACACTGTTATCGATACATCATTCGAGCCAGTGTACCATATGGCCGGCTTTCTTGGTGAGAGCGTGCCGAACTTCGACATTGAAACGGTGTACGAAGAGGGGGACCCGAGAGATATGTTGGTAAACAGTCCGCGGCTAGGCGCCGCTTTAGCAGAGAACTTCGGCGTTAATGAAACAAGGCCTACATCTCCTTTGCATACAACGGTCCTGCAGCGGGGACATGGCTTCGTTACAACAGGGGAAAGCGTGGAACAGGTTACTGATTTTGCGTATTATGCAGCGAGTAATGCTAGGGTGCAGACGAAAGCATTGTTGTTGGCGAATGTGGGGAGAGGTGGTAGTGGGGATGAAGGGGTCAAGTATTTGAGTGGCCAGGAGAGGAAGGCGACGAATGAGATGAACCGGTGGATTGTGTTCAAGCCTTGGGCGCAGTGGGTGAGGGAGGTAGAAAGGAGTGGGATGTTTGTGAATGAGCTGGGGACGCCGCCTGTGCCGGATCGGTAGGTGGGAGATAATGAGCTTGGTGACGGGCGGGTTATATGTTTTCCTTTGAGTTGGAAATAGCGGTGTGCAGTTTTCACTTCCACCTATATTGATGTCTTTCATGTTTCTGTCGGAACAGTAGAGCAACGTTCCCTCTAGATGGCCTTCAGGCTAACTCATGAGCATAGAGAAATTGTTCTCCTCGCCCTCTTTGCCGCTGCTTGAGATGGATAGGTGTGGTAACAGGGTGACTGGGATATGAGCTGTCTCTAAGATCTGGAAAATTATTGTTCTCGCTTCCAGATATCGAGTGTCATTCCTTCGTCCCTACATAGTCGTTACCGTTTACAAATCATAAAGCTGATGCGGCCAGACCTCACTTGTAGCCGGAAACTACCACATATTCGTGCAAGCATTGCAAATCTTCGGCCAGTAGTCAGCAGCTTCTACCTGGCTATTTGACGAAGTCAGTATAAGAGCAGTGCGAATGGTGAATGCTGCAACCGCTAGCAATGTACCACGTGTATGACGCCATCTGCCAAGCCCCTTCCGCTCTCGGGAGCGGAGGAAAGCGACAACGTCCTCCCCAGTCCACCCTCTTGATTGCCGTTCGTCTCCACTCACATCACGTCGAAGTTATACCACAAAAGGAAGCTCATTGGAGTACCAAGACTCTAGCACCCTGATAGACATCAACATGCCTGCGAAGGATGTAGGTATCCGGCTCAACCATTACGACCGATAACGTGCTTGGGTATACATATCACGACTATCATGACAGGGATCCGGAGTAGATGTATATACGAACGTCGCTTGAGCTTTTGCCAGTGATGCATTTCGCGGCTCTTCTTAAATATCCCGCCAGATAGCCTCCACACCAGATTCCGTCGACTGAGAGCACATCGATCGCCATGCGAATCCCATCCAGATCTACATTAGGCTTACTTACAGTTCAAGCAACGACGGTTATTGCGGACCGATATGCCAGCAACATAAGACCTGTCGTGATCGATGCACCACAAGTGGCAGCCAACTTTCCCAATGTAGAAGGCGTTCAGCTACTATCGCCAGCTTTCGTGAGCCCAAACAACGTACCAGCTACGTTCGCAAACGGAACTTCCGGACCAACTCCACAGCAAGACTTGGGTATGTTGTTGTACGTCAAAAGCTACAGATTTGCTGACGTTCTGCAGAAAGTTTTGTGAAGGGCATTGCCCAGCGTAACGGCTGGATCACCTACAAGAGTGGACTAGAATCCGAGGAGGGCCGCAGAATACCGTACGTTACATTAACGAGTGGCAAGAACAGCACCAACAAGCTACGTATTTGGATCCAAGGGGGCCAGCACGGAAACGAGCCAGCAGGCGATGAAGGCGTGCTAGCACTATTAGGGAGACTCGCGCATGACTCACAATGGAGCGCGAAAGTCCTCGAAAAGATTGATCTTGTGATTCTTCCACGCTACAATGCGGATGGCGTGGAATATCTGCAGCGACAGCTGGCCTCCAACTACGATCCCAATCGCGATCACGCTGTGCTTGAGAGACAGCAAACCCGAGCTATCAGAAAGCTACAGTCCGAGTTCGACCCTCACATCTTCATAGACGACCACGAATACACAGGTGGCGACCCGGTAGCTCAAAAATACATCCGCGCACAAGATCTCCTAGTCTCAGCCAACAAGAATCAGAACGTTCATCCCGATATTCGAGCGTTAAACCAGGAATTTGTAGACGACATCTTCTCAGTTGCTGAAAGCCACGACCTCCGGATATTCCCATACTTTACGACCAGCGTAGCCAATGGAACGATCACTATAGAAGAGCCTGATGCGACTCCAGCGGCAAACCACAAAGGTGCTGGCAACTACCAGGCCCTTACATTCCTGGTGGAGACGCGTGGTATTGCTATCGCTGATCAGCATTTCCAGCGACGTGTAGCTTCCCACCTCATCGTCCTAGAGACCATCCTTAACAAAGCGGTTGATGAACACGATAGCGTGTACAGCAAAGTTGAGGCAGGACGTAAAGCCTTCATCGAGAGTAGAGACGACATTGTTGTTGCGTACAAACAGCGTGTCACAAACAAGACAGTTCCCTTCATCGACGCGTCGAACGGTTCCCTCGTCAACGTGCCCGTCCGCTCTAGAAACAGTGATCCCTACCTTGTCACTCTGTTCCGACCTCGGCCAAAAGCCTATGTCTTCTCGCGCGCATGGACAGATGTAGCGGAACGTCTCCGCATACTCGGCGTTACCGTCGATGTCCTCCAAGAAGAGTTCACCGGCAGTGTTGAAGCGCTGGTGGTGACGTCGGCTGAGCTGGCTGAAACAAAGTTCGAGGGCATCGCGGGTACTACAGTAACGACTAATGCGACACAGCGGGAGGTTACGATACCCGCTGGAGGCTACTGGGTTGACACTAAGCAGAAGAATGCTGGGTATGCTTTTGCGCTGTTAGAACCAGAGGCAGAGGCGAGTCAAGCATATTATAACAAGATTCCGCTGGAAGTGGGAGATGAATATCCTGTATTTAGAGTTATCTAGGGATATCTGAATGCTGTGATGGAACAATTGCTCCATCTACGTACTAAGACGTGCTTTGAGTGCCCTTCTCTGCCTGACGCAAACCCATCTTCACCATCGGACTCTGCATCAACGTATCCCAGTCGTGGATGAACAGTGTCTGTTTGAGCGAGATGTTCATCTCTAACACACCCCGCTCCAGGACTTCAGCATCATACTCATCAACAGCTTGTTTGAGAATCTGTCCTTGCTCAGGAGAGCCATGAACTTTACGCATAGCAGCGACGAAATTAGCAGCATCTTGCAACGCGTTGTTGAGACCTTGTCCTCTATGCGGCGTCATAGGATGCGCGGCATCACCACACAGTGTCATCCTTCCACCCTTGTTGTCCCATCTGGCAGCCTTCTCCCAGAACGTGCCTTTGTCAAGTGGAAGCACGGTAGCAGGGTCAACAGCTCGGCCAGCAGATCGCCAAGGCTCCGCATATTCTTCTGTGCGCCTCTTGAAGAGCGACATGCGTCCTTCAAGGGTGGACAGATCCACATCATCTGGCACACTAGAGTCCAGCCACGATTGCAGGACCTGGAATGTCCATGTTGCAGGGTCGGAGGGGTCAGGGACGTCTTGTATGGATAGCCAGAACATGGTGCCGTGACTTGGGTGTATGCTTGTAATGAAGAGGGGATTCATGTCTCGTATGCGCTTGGCGAGGTCGGCATCGAATTTGTAGGGGAAGTTGAACATGCTGACAGATGCATTGGTGAGTTTTGCTGCTTCTGTACCGACAATGGCTTCGCGAACTCGCGACTTTGCGCCATCGCAACCTACCAGCACATGGCCAGTGGCTGTACTGCCGTCTTCGAATGTCACCCTCACCTTGTCATCGTCATCAACCACTGCACTAGCGAACTTCTTCCCGTATTGCACGTCTAAGCCCTCGCTGAACAAGTTACGCATCTTCCTACGGCTAACGCGACAAGGCTTGTCCGCTGCGATTTCGAATATGCGCTCGCCCGTCTCACCGTTGAACACCGATAAGCCTGTGGCGGAGGCTTGGTCCTGGGTTGGGTCGGCGAAGGCTTCGTGGATGCGGTTTGCGAGTTCAATTGGCAGGCATGAAGCGATGTGGGAGCTCCCCCAATGCAGTGTCATGCCCCATTCTCGTGGGCGCGTCTGGTACGTCGTCGAGGTCTCGGTTTCAAAGATCGAGAAAGATATGTTTGCCTAAGTGATGGTATTAGCGATTTGGGCGTTGGATGGTTTTGCGACTGAATCATATACCTTCTTCAAACCCTGTGCGATGAGCAATCCGCTTGTTCCAGCTCCTACGATCAGGATGTGGAGGTCCTTATTCCCGTTTGTAGCCATTGCTTTAGTCGGCACCTTGATAGGAGATTGGGTGCTTTCAGAAAGGAAACCAAGCTGGCATCATCGTCGGGGGGAGAGACGGCATGGCCGTGCCCGCGGGAGGCCCATCAGTCTGCATTTTACCCGTCCCGCATCTTGACTATCTTCAAGAAGATGGATATGGCTAGGAGCGCTGGGATGTTCGGCATGCGGGATGTAATGGGTATCTTGTCCGTGCGCCAGGCCTAGCGCGTTTTTACCACGTGCATACGGTTTCGCGATTACGCTAATCCGTCTTTACTCAAACCACATCTCTTGCTTGCCACACCAGCGGGCTCACGTAGACATTCAGACACGCTTTGTCACGGCTCTTACTGATTGATTGTTACTCGGAGTACGGCCTTGGATCATGAGGCCTACCAGCGTCGAGATCGCTGCGTGTGTACCAACGCGTAGAGGCTGCATGCCACGCAGCCTTGTGGCTCTAATCACTTGGTAGGATTCGCCACACGTCAGGCGCAAATGTATCTACGTGTAGTTCGATTGGCGACTTGCGCTGAAGGTTCTTGTTGTTAACACATAGGCGAAGTACCCGATAGCGTTCATGACCACCCTTTCTGGTTGTTGGAGCTGACCTGTGTTCGAATTCACGTTTGAAGAAGTAAGTCACAATGCTTAACGAACTTTGGTGAAATCGATGAGCGTTAGGGGCGATTGGAAGGTCGTGCTGTCCTCGCAACGTACATTGGGCCAATGAGTCGGCCTGGTTAAGCTTCACTACGCAGGATCATGCCGCATCCGTGGCTGTCAGACTACCACCAATCACTCTATACCAGCGGTTTGGCTCACCGGTGACGCAACGCAGCAGGCTCGCTAGCCTTGGTCATCCCCACATCCGCTGTCACCATCCTTTTGAGACATCACCTATGCTTTACGTGTGAGCCTGTCGTGGAGCCTAGTGAGCCTTAGTGTCTTGTGTCATAGAATCGAAATCCAGACATTACCGAGATGACTTCCTCAACGCAAACAATTATGGCGCTCTCGATCATCGCAGGCACCGGCGGCCTTCTCCAGCTAGGCCTATCGATTTCAGACATAGCCTTGTGTGTTGACTTGGGCAAAAAGTTCGGCAATTTCGTTCGAGCAGGACAAAACGACAATGACCTATTTGAAGTCCTTAATGAGGACCGGGAGGCCCTATTCAGACGGCGTGGCCTCGTAGACGCAGTTGAAATGGAGAAGAGATGGCCTCAAGTACAATTCGTTCACCGCGGCACGAAGAAAAAAGGCAATATCGTGGAAAGTCCGCCGCCTGAATCGCCATTACTGAAGACGAATCATAGGAAAAAGAAAGAAGATACTAGTGGTGGGGTGGACAGATTCACATGGATCATGGTCGCAATTGTTTCCGCCTTAGACGGGTGCTTACCATCAAGCGTCATACAGGAACTACTCATTCGAGTCTTTGTTGAGGTTTTGGCTCGCGAAGATGACATCGTACCTGCGTTAAGAATAACCATCAAGAAGAATGTTGAGTCGTGGAGATCTTTCGGGTGTGCTAGAAACATAGCGTCCTCGATCAAAAATGAGATGCACAAGAGCCTGTCCAATGGCGTGCTCAATCAGCACCCGATACAGGCTATCCCTCAGTTGAACGAAGCAGAAATGGCAGATGCGCAAAACTTTCTTGTTTGGCTTCTCAGGGGAGATTCGACAGTATTTAGCGTTATGTCTCCCATCACCTTCTCCATTGCTGAGGCCTGGGAGAAGGTCAAGCTTGATCTGTGCACCGGTGGACACCCTACACACGAAGGACAAGCTTGTGTGACATATCACCGCGAAGGCCATATAATCGGAGGATCCAGCTCCTGTACAGGTCCAATCCCAAGAGGACTTGGCTCAAGACCCCTTCAGATTTCCTGGCCTCGCGACAGACCAGAATCGATGATAGACGTCCTGGGGGTCGGTCGTGCATTGGAGGATGCCATGTCAGGAGCCTGGAAGCGTGGAACAGATGCCGCTGATCACCTGGCATTGGTTGGCGAAGCGAAGCTGCCATTCGAATCCACGAGCGAGGTATATTATACCCTTGAAGTCTCCTCTGGTACACGAGTCAGCAGACGGTACGGCTCGCATATTGGCATACTCGCTGATAAAGGCTTTCCGGCAGACACCGAGAAGATTTTCGAGACGATGGAGTGGATTCTGGTAGGAGAGCCGGAAGACAGTGCCCGATGGCTCGAGAACCATGTTGCACTTGAATACCTGCTTCGAGTTGACGGCGCAGCTGTGCAACCCGATCAGAAATACCGTCCGGTGTTCTTCAAGTATCAAGCTTTCATTTTCGGGTTCTACTACCAACTCTTACGACCAATTCTATGTTTCGATTTAGTGGAACCCGAGGCTTTTTTCCACGGCATCTGGGGTGTACACAGTACTACGTTTCTGGCTATGTGCACTCAGCTGGGTCAATCCTTGAGGAGAGACCAAAAAGCCAGCCGGGCTCATATGCTTTATGTGCTGTCTGCGATGTATAACGGTCGTCGCAAGATCTTCAGTACCATGTCACCACTTCCTCGATTAGTCGGTGTTCTCGGACCCATCTCAGTACTGGCGCTACCTCTTGTTCGTACAACAGACGATCCTGATAGTATCTCGAAGATCGCTGTCGTTGACCTTCCAATCGTCGATCTAAATGCCGAAAGCGCAGACGGAGATCTGATGGCCAGCGAAGGTGGGGGAATGCACTTCAAACGCCCATCCGAGTGCGACCGCGCCGCCACCCTCACCCGACCAACTGGCCCAATGCATGATTGGGCAGTGTATCCATATATGAGCATGGCATTGAGTGGGGAAAGCACCAGCGGTGTAGTTATGGCTGCCCTATGCGGCAAGAGGCTTGTTGGGTGGTTCAATCCGTTGGCTGCGGATATCTCGTTCCTCAGTTCAGCTTATCTGCGAGAGTCGCGTAGCGAAGACGATGTGGTTGCATTCGAAGTAAAAGACGAGCATTGGGTGAATGGTGAGGTCCTACAGCCAGATCCAGGTCACGCAGATTTCGCGTTCGGCGTCGTGCACTCGCATGGCTCGCCTAGTCTACGGTACGCTGCGGCTGGTTTCTACGCTGAAACAGGCGAAGAAGTGGTAGTTGCTCGGTCTGCCAGTGAATTTTCCGGAGCTTTTGGCAGAATAGAAGCACAAGGTCAAGGTATAGTGATCGCATAAAGGCTATAAGCATCCATATACTTCTAGCTTCAATAGCACTACAATTTGCTTCCGCCTGTTGCCTTCACAACAAAACCCAACCTGGGAAAATGAATTCTGACATCTAGCTCACCCATCTCGTCCGGCTTGATGACCACCTCCTCGCTTCCAATCTTGACCAACGTACCCATCGTAGGATTATCACGCCCGGTGTCATCAGGCACAATGCTTACACTCACTCCTGGGACCAACCCTCTTGAAGTATCAAGGGCGATATGCTGTCCCACCACCGTAGGAACGAGCAGATCTGCATCGCGTAATAAAGTTGTTCGTCTCAGCGCGTCTTTCCACCGAGTGTCCTCTCCGGGAACTGTTGTTTGTAGATCCGGCAAAGCGCCGATGTACGCTTCGAATGCATCGAACCACTTCACCAAGCTTGGATACCTCTTCTTGTTGAATACTTGTCCCACAACATCATCATTTGTATCATGCGTACCACCACCACTTAGATTATTGATACCCTTCCCAGCAGCGATATCAATACCCCACCTCAACTGATAGTACAGACTGATGTCAGCGAGCGAAGGCGTCCTTGTCGGCATGGCCCAAGTACCCGACCCAAACATAGGTTCCAACATGGAGAAGTGCAAATCTAAATTGGAAAGATGAATTGGTATCTTAGACTGCAGCTTCTCAGGCGAAAGCGGATGTCCAATGAGCTGAGCGCGATCTTTACCAAAGTCTGATGCCCAGACAGAAGAAGGTATAAATCCGGTAGTCGTCCGAAACAGCGGTTTGTCAGTCCAAAAGCTCGCGAATCCTCTTACGAGCCCACGATACGCCCATCCGCTTACACCCTCGATCGGCGGATACACGGCAGCCCAACCTTTGTCCACTGGGAAAAAGTGCTCTAGTGCCTCGATGATGAGCGAGGTGTCGCAGTAGATCTCCCTGCCGATAGCGAGGATGGGTATCTTGCGGTACTGGAGGCCGAATGTTGATGTTATGAGGGGTCTGGGTAGCATCGATGGGACCGTGACATATGCTTCGGGACCAGTGATTAGTCACGAGATCTACGTGCTTCGATCGTCACGAGCAGGGAGAAGGCTTACAGAATGGTATCTGCTTGATGCGTAGTGCTAGTCTGACTTTGTTTGTGAATGGGCTAGAATCGTAGCCAAAGAGGACCACAGGTGGATGATCAAATGGTTGCGCCATGTTGCCTATAGGGAAGCGACGCAGACTGAGCTCTGACAGGAAGGCGTTCAATACGGCAAAGATATAAAGGAGTCGGTAATGCCGGGTCGAGATGAGGTTATACCCCGCGCTCTGCTCAAGAGCCGAGGTTCTATTCAAGAGGCGAGAGAACGTATGCTTTGTGTACTGAGTCTTTGTTAAATGTTGTACGTGTTCTGATGAAATCTACCCTCTAGGCCAGAGTCATGATCTGCATTCCAGAGTCCAGATGTAAGCCATAGCGACCCCATCTTATCTCTACCAGTGCACAAAACTGGAACAACACTATTTTGGGGTTGAAACATGCTTTTGCTGTGGTATCGAAATCATGTCCGTAATCTACCATAATGTGGGACGCCAAACTCCAAGACTATCTGGATGGTGCGACAGAGTCCTACTCGTCAACATCCATAGCCTCAACACCGCCACCAACCTTCCTCTTCATCATCATCTTCTTAGTCTTGCTCCTCGTCTTGGGTGTCGTCTCCTCAAGCTCACTGAGCTCGCTCTCCTCAGCCTCGAGCTCCTTCCTCCTTGCTGCAACCTTCTCCTTGACCTTCTGCACGTCGACCTCCATGTCTTCCTGCTCAACCTCCTCCTTGGCGAATCGCTCGCTCGGCGGCAGCAGATGCTGGTTCTCCTCAACCAACTTCCTGTCCTCCTCACGCTGTCTCTGCTTGTTGCCACGCATGCGGGCCTTGTAGAAGGCGCGCTCTCTCCTCTGCCGGATCTCGGATACACGGCCCATGGCCTTGAGGGTGGTCTGGATGAGATCGCGGTTGTATCGCACGGGCACGTTGCGGCGCTGAGCGAAGGTGAGGGTCGAGTCGACGGTCATTTCCTTGTTGTGCGCGCGACGGAAAGACTTTGTCCAGGCGAGCTTGCGGGGGTTGCGCTTCATCTTGAAGTTCTTGTGGCATTTTGATTTGCAGAAGCGGAAAGCCTTGGCATCATTGCGCACTGTGCAGGTTAGGCAAGAGCTTTGTTAATGCGATTTTGGGTCTTCATACCGAATGTTATGCCCTTTGACGGGTATACGGGCGAAGAGCAGAAGTAGCAGGTTTCGATTCTCATCCTGTCGTTGTGGCGCGAGTACGGTCGCGCTCGGTGCTATGGCAAGGAAGGAATGCGATTTGGTTTGCAAGGGTCGACCACGCTTCACAGGTGTTGGCGGTGGTGAGGCGGCGTCGTGGAAAAGGTGTGGAGTTGAGGATCGAGAAGTTGGGCCGGCTCGAAATTTTGGGTGGTCCGTGCACATCTACCCACCTGCCATTCTCGCCCGCCAATTGCGATGCATCTCGACCGAGACACCTCCGCAAATTTCCTTCCCACCACCTCGCCGCCGTCGTCGACGCATCCATCTGGCGTCGCCCCAATCTCCGCCTCCGCATCGCGCACATCCACCACGTCGAATCTCGAGCAACCGAAACCACTTAGTACGACACAATCACGAGACATGTCTGCCTGGGTCTGGATCTTGGGCGCTGGTGCCACTGCTTTCTTCGTATGGCTCCCCCATCTTTGCATTGGCGGTTACGGCCGACTTGGTTATGGAGCTGCAGGAACAGCTTGGAATGTCAAGGAGAACATGTACTGACAGATGCGAACAGGGCCGCGCAGCACTCGTGGCACTACGAAGATCAGGTGGTGGTGCTGGAGCATTAGGACGTGGATACTACAAGGGCGGCTTTGAGCCCAAGATGACACGGAGAGAAGCCGCGCTGATATTAGAAATGCCGTATGTCGACAAATCCACACAGCCCACCAAGAGTACACGAGACTGACAATACCCCAGCGAACGCGGCATCACAAAAGAACTCCTACGCAAGAAGCACCGGTCGCTCATGCTTCTGAACCACCCGGATCGAGGCGGTAGCCCATACCTGGCTACCAAGGTCAACGAAGCGAAAGAGCTACTCGAGAAGGAGGTTAAGGGATGAACAAGAGGGGGATGATGTGTATACCAAGACTTTGTACTATATCACGGCATGATTCTCAGCATCAGCATGGCGTTGGACTGAATACGATTAGCGATTTACGACTCTCAACACGCTTTCTTTGGTTACAACTTCATTCAATTCCATGTGGTGAACATGTGCTAATCGTCATAGTCTCCACGAGCGCACTACAATATCGTCTACACTGGCAACACAACTTTGACTCCCATGTACTCTCGCTGATGCATGATCTTCCCATCAATAATGACTTGATGCACGCCGACACGATTGTGAATAGTATCTGTAGGATCTGTCGCCGTAGCGATCTGGATCTCACGCCACTCGCGATTGGTAGGAACCAGTTCGCCCTGTAACGTGCGCTTCTTGAACTCTTTGTAGATACCTTGGTCCTCAACACAACCTTCACGCTGGATCAGTGGCGAATCTGCGATGATCGTTAGCATCTCGGCTTGCAGGCGACTAGAAATTCGACATACTGTAGGCAGGCGTCATGCGCAGACTGCCAAGAGAACTATTGAATAGCACGAGTGAGAGGCGATCTTGGTTCAACTGATCCACCGGCGGCTTAAAAACCCGGTGTCTGGTAGCCTTGAAATGCCCGCCCGAAACGATCTCCAGCGTATCACCGATATTGATGACGAGCGCACCAGGCTTGTATGGCACATAGTACCACTTCTCATCCTGTCCCCAGATCTGCAAGCACGAGATCGGGACAGAGAATAGGAGCGTCGTGAGTCCAAAGTCGGTATGGCCATGCATACGCAGACCTTTGGACGCTTCCTGTGTCTGCTTCTGTACTGGACGGAACAGCGCATGGCGGAAGTAGCCCTCGCCTGTGGGTCCATCATGGGATTGGATGTTGTCCCAGAGGTAGTCGTCGGGCAGTTCGAGTACTCGAGAGAAGAGAGTCAGAAGACGGCGATTAACGGATTTGGTGAGGTAGTTGCAGAATGCTTCAATCTCATCCATGAACGGGTGCAGGCATTTGGGCGTACGGCTCATGTCTTGCCAGTCGGGTTTGTACCAGTTGAATTGCTCGATGCCATCGGGGGTTCCACGGTGACGCTGGCCTTGTTATTAGTGTTCAAGCATTGGTTGATAGAAGACATGATGCTAACCTTGAACCCATATGGATGTTTGTAACCGGACCATACACCAGTCTCCGGGTTGAAGAGCAGACGCTCCTTGTCTTCTTTACCTATGTTCTCGTATAGATACTGTGCAAGAGCGAACTGTCTGTGCAGTTGTTGTAGGGAGACGCCGTAGTTCTCCAGGAACAGGAAGCCATCTTCTCGGATAGCTCGCTTAACCTGCCCAACAAGGTCATCGACAACTGCTGGATCATCAGAGTCCATTAGAGACAAGTCGATGGAAGTGAGCTCGGCAAAGTCCTCTTTCTGCTGAGTGACTGGTGGAGGAACCCATTCTGGTACAAAGGGCTTGCCAGGAAGATTGGCTGATGGGGGATTGAACTTAGCGGCGGGTGCCATGACGCTTGATGTATTGATGAATCTATTGAAGGTGTTGTGTATAAGACTAAGCTGATCGCTGCATATCCTTTGAGCTTGGAAATTGAGTCCTTATGTTCTTGAGGCAGATCCTAGTGTAACCTCGCAGCTGTCGTCAGGTCCGGCTTTTAAGGATCGAGCTCCTCCTCAGCCAGAACCATCATCTCATGGATGGCTCAAAGGTCATCATACGATTGCATACGGTCCGGCGACTGGGGGCCGCGGCCTTTACTACCTAGGTAGTAAACGCAATCAATAAAGCGGTCGAAGCAGCGGCACTCCGACCATGCGACTCGAGTCCGGATTATCACCTATCTCCGCCTCCACCTTTGTTTTCTACATACCGAACTCTAGATGAGACCAATCATGTCAAGTTCATGGATGAGAAACATACAGTGTTGCGATGGAGGAGCGATTGCCAACGGAGGAGCTCCTCCCCGTTGTGGGGCCGTGGGCTAGCGCGCCCTGCTGGCTTCGTCCTCCACACCCTTGGAGCTCCTCATCCCTCCACCAAGCTTCAGCGTAACGTAACTGCTTTGAATAATGACGAGCTGTTGTAAGGCTATATACCCAGGTATTACAGTATGTGGCTCTATACCTCCAGCCTCGCTTTCACAGAACAGCTTGCGTCCAGCTTGACGAGATCGACTACTTTTCTTCCGAAGTCACTCCTATCGTAGCGCCATCATGTCGCGTCAACTCATCTCCAGCGAGAAGTTTCCCACTAAACCACACAATTGCCCCGCCACGAAAGTCCCAGGACTAGTCTTCTGTGCTGGACAAACAGCTACTGGAGAGATCAAGCAAGCCACAGTAAGTTTTCCCATCGTGTATCACAGCTTTTCATCATTTAGCACGTACTGACTCAACCCTAAGAGAAAGGTTCTCCAAAACCTCAAAGAGGTTCTCGAGCTATCCGGTTCGTCGCTTGAACAGGTTGTCAAATATAATGTCTACCTTGCAGACATGAAGGATTTCGCGGCGATGAATGAGGTGTACATCGACTTTTTACCTCAGCCGATGCCTTCGAGATCATGCCTGCAGGCGTTACCTCCTGGTGATGGCACCGTGATTGAAATTGAGTGCATAGCCCAAGTTTGAATCGGGGCGGATTGAGTGGGAGCATCGCGATGGTCACACGGCTTAGTCGGTGCGCTTATGAACCTGCATCCGGCGACAACTCTTCGTAGAGGACGTAGGCTATATATGCTAGTCGACGCAATTTCACACGTTGACTGTCATCAAAAATTAAACCTCGTGGAATCGAATTGAATGGATGAGAGAATTTTTCCCATATGTGACCTGCCAGTACTGATATCTTCATAGCGGAACGAACTTTGCTACTAGCATCAAAGACGTTGAAGAACCCAAAATACCCTCAAGAACATGCTGCAGATATTGGAGGCTCAAGCAGAATATCGAATGAGAACTTAGGCTTGAGGCATGAGCTTAGGTGAATACGAGTGATAACAAAAAGTCGTGTGCAACTATCAAAACCTTCATGAATGAGTCTAGTGAAAGCTATGGGGTGAAGGCAGCACCCAAAAGTCGTACAGGACCATATGATGAACTGGTGATATGTTTGATTGTTATCCGCATCTATCTGACGACGACTTTTATTCTACTCAGCATCTCATACGTTCGATCTCGCAATCTCGAATTCGGCCATATACCAGTTCTGTATTGCCTTCGTGTCTCCAGTGATAGCAACAGTATCGTACCTTTCCCTCGCTTCCCTTGCGGCAGTCCCATTGTTCACCATTCTCCCAGCCCACTTCCCGTGTTTGCGAGCAGCAGAGACTATCTTGTCGACAGCTTGAACGAACTCTGGCTCGTCACCACGTGCAGGGGTATAACCAAGGAGAGATTGCGCGAGATCGTTAGGTCCAATGAATATGAGATCAACACCCGGAACTGCAGCGATGGCGTCGACATTATCAACTCCAGCACGTGTCTCGATTTGGATCATGGTGATGATTGTCTGATCAGCCGACTTCATATACTCGGGTGTTGTAAGGCCATGGCCAATAGCTGGAAAGGCCGAGCCTTGACCACGAACACCTTGTGGCGGAAATTTCGAGGATGCGACAACTTGTGCGGCTTCTTCTGCGGTGTTGATCTGAGGAACCATAAGGCCATGCGCCCCAGTGTCTAGCGCACGCTTGAGTATATCGTGTGTCGGTCCGCGAACACGTATAATCGGGGATACGCCCAGAGCTGAGATAGCGGCTACTGAGTTGTGCATGGCGTCGTCTCCGATATGACCATGCTCACAGTCGATGATGATTCCATCGAGGCCTGTCAATGCAACGATTTGCGCTTGCCGAACAGAAGGTATCGCGACAAAAGTCATCAGCGGAAATTCGCCGCTTCTGATCTTATTGAGAAGCCTCAGACGAGGGTTCTGGATTGTTGTTGTCTGCGCTGTGGGATAGCTCATGATGTAGGATGGGGTTGGCAAAGTATATATCAAGAATATAGTAGAGAGAGAGTGCTGAGACGGGGTCTTGATGTCACTGGGATGACGGGAAGGTAGATGTCATGTTGGTGCATAGGACGACTCGTCCACCTAAGTAGCATCACAGCCTCTGTCGTTCCATCGAAATGATGCTGCTATCGCATGCGACGTGCAGGTTGTGAGGAGCAAGTTGGTTCCACTTAAGATGCCGACCATAATGGAGTGTGGTTTTGCCCCGCTCGGAGGAGAAGAGAGGAGCTCCTCCCATCGGGCCCGCTAGCTTCATGCAGGGACCACGAGTCATACAAGCATTACCCCTGATCTCACTTTCTCACGCAGATAAGCACACGATAATCGGAACCCACCAGTTCGGAACGTACCTCAGCTCGGGTGCTCCTCTCAGTGTCATGTAGTTTCAATTAATGACAATACTATGCCATAGCTGCTATAAATCATGACATATTGTGACGAGATATCGGTCGTCTCTCATCGGCGTCTTTACAAGCTGTAGTTGCATTTTCCCTGGCCTCATCATTACATTTGAAGCCACGTTGTGCAACAATGGAGACTGAGATGAAGAAGCTCGACCTAGTCGGGACCGCGGATACTGATGTCGAGATAGGCACTATTCACAACGAGCGTATGCCCCATTCCCTTCGCAATCTAAGTCAAGATGAGATCTCGGATCTCAACCGGAAGCTTGTTCGCAAAATCGACTGCATCGTCTTGCCAATCATTAGTATCCTCTATATACTGAACTACATCGATCGTCAAAACTTGGCTGCAGCGAAGTTACAAGGTATCATGGAGGATCTTGACATGACAACTCAACAGTTTGCGACGGCGATCTCGATCCTGTTCGTTGGGTACCTCCCTTTCCAGATTCCGAGCAACTTGGTAAGCTGTGCCTACACAAAAAGTATGCGAGACACACACTGACTTCGTACCTCCATGTTTGCAGATCATTGCAAAGATCTCGAGGCCTGGACTTTACATCTGCGTGGCTGTGGTCATCTGGGGGTCGATATCTGCTGCGACGGCAGCTGTGAAGACGTATGGTCAGTTGTTGGCTGTACGCGCTGTTCTCGGGGCGGCAGAGGCTGTGTGAGTCAACCACTAAGATATTGGAAAGATCTACGCTGACTCCAATACCTTGTTCCAGATTCTTCCCTGGAGCCATGTACTACTTGTCAGCATGGTACAACAAGACTGAACTTGGAAAGCGTATTGCGGCCTTGTACATTGCGCAACAATTCGGTAACGCATTCGGTGGCCTCTTTGCTGCTGGTGTCTTCGAGCTCGATGGAAAGCATGGCATCCGTGCATGGCAATGGCTATGTAAGTAGACGAATGTCAATGGCTGCATATATCTGACAGCGCTGACGTGTCTCTAGTCATCATCGAAGGCTCTGCTACGGTTGGCATCGGCGGAATCTGCGCCTTTCTTATGCCAGAATTCCCACATAATAGCAAAATACTCTCCCCGATTCAGCGTGATCTTGCAGTCTGGCGCATCGAATCCGAGTCGGGCGCTGCAGAGGGTACCGAGAAAGAGAGTGTGCTGAAGGGCTTCAAGATGGCGATTAGTGACCCAAAGTTGCTGCTCCTCATTCTATGTAATCTCCTCTCGCAGGCGCAAGGATCGATCGCCAACTACTTCCCGACGCTGGTCGCCTCTCTGGGTTACAAGGGTAACACCAGTCTTCTACTGACTGCCCCACCATACATTCTTGCAGGCATCGTCTACTACGGACTTATGTGGTACTCTGATCGCAAGAACGCAGCGTATCGCATCATCCTTGCGTGTATCGCCATCGCTTGTGTCATGTATATCATACCCATGACGACGTTGAATGTCGGTGCGAGGTACTTCTCCATGATGATCCTCCCCTTCGCCTCCGTCGGACCACAGCTTGTACTGTACAAGACTATCAACCTACATCTTGCACGCCCAACTGCTAAGCGTGCAGCAGCGTCAGCGCTAGTCAATGCCATCGGTGGCACCTCCAATATTTGGGCCTCCTACCTCTACTACGCTCCACCACAGTTCTACACGGCCTTCGGTACGCTGATGGGCTGTGCGTTGGCATTTGCAGCTACCATAACCTTCTACCGTTGGCTTGTTCGTCGAGAGAACAAACGCCTCGACTCTTGCGATCCGGACCAGATTGCGAAGGTCATTCGAGGTGGCGTCACGGAGGAGATGGTACAACTCAATTGGCGGTACGAGATGTATTGAAGGCGATCGTCGTAGTAGGTAAGGGTGTCATCCAGCGAATTGATGATGGTTATAGTTGTGTTCGTGGTGGCAGCAGTTAGTTGCTATAGAGTTCGGAAAACTTGAGTCTGACAACTGCGACCTCTCGCGTGTAACTATGGTCTTGTCCCTGACTGGATACCTCACCTGTCCATACTCTGGCATCTCAAGTACAATTTCATGACGATCAAGGGCAGTAATGACATTATTGCATGACGTTCAGCCAGTGATGTGATGCGTAAGGACTTCGCGGAGCGGCGGTGTACCACTGTTCAAACGCCGATCGGGCCGAGGTCGCCATTCCCCAACCACCCCCGCTTCCTTCTCGCAAGCCACTGACCATGACTTCCCGTCTGCATCCCCTAGGGCCACGAACCATCTCGACGCTGTGGGTCTAGGAAGTGCATATAACCAATTGCCGAACGATGAATTGTATGAGCAACGACGCGCCTCTAAATGCCCGTAGGGGCCTATCCGATAGGACATACCCCTGCTAGTGGGAGATAAGCACAATTACCTTGGATGCAAGTACTTCTTGAAGTGAATGAATGAAACGCATCTAGCTGTTACCGAAATCTCTAGCAAACGTCATCGATATGGCATCCATAGGTGTAGCACCTCATCCTGTCAAAGAACAACCATCTTTCCAGCCGTTCCAATGTCAAACCTGTCAAAGTCGCTTCACACGACACGAAAACCTCAAAAGACATGCTGCCCTCCATGCACGTAATCGAGAAGGGGCCTCCTTGGCCTGTCACTTCTGTGCAGCAACATTTTCAAGATCGGACCTCCGGCAGCGGCATACCAGAAGAAAGCATCCTGACCAGCAAGCCAGCCAGCTCACGAAGCAGTCGAGAGTACAGCCAGATGGAGTCTCCCCGGTCTCGGTTCACGAGCGACAAAGCAATCTTGCGTCAGTTACACCGGATGAGATGGGCGACCTCGATCTTGACACAGCATGGCGGACTATTCTTGATGGCCACAGCCAGCAGCACAACTCTACGACAGATCATGAGCTTGGGGGCATCGCAACATCAAACAAGAGTGTGGCTTCCGTCTTCCTACCAGAACAGTCGATGAGCAACATCGACGTCACCCTGCAGAGGATTCTAGCGACAGAGATGGACCCACGGCTGGAAGTCACACATATGCAAAGTCTTCAATCCAACACACTTAGTGACAACCTCGGTCTTTCCAGCCTGTGCAGTTCCAGCGGGTGGTACTCAGGTGAATCACCACAACTGCAAGATGACTGGAATATTTCCACAGCGCAGGTTGCCCGAGGTATCGAGTTGTTCTTCATCCACCTGTCTTCGTTCCTGCCGTTCATTCATCGGCCAACATTCGATAGCAATAGAGCTGATGAAAGTCTACTCTATGGCATGCTTGCTCTTGGGTATCAATATGGCGAAGATCCGGACGATCAAGAGAGAGCTTCATCCGGTGCTAGCCTGTCCTTAAGATGCTATCACCAATCTCGCGCGTTGCTCAAATCCAATAACGACGAAGAGACACTCGGCAATCCTCAGAGAATAATGACCGTGCAAGCCTATCTTCTACTGCAGGTTCTGACTATGATGTATCTCTGCGGAACATCGTCAGCATATGCCCTGAAGATACATTCAAAGATCGTCACGTTGGCGCGAGCGGGTGGACTTATGCAACCACTACCGGCCCAAGCGACTGCGGCAGCAGATTTGGACTCTCTCTGGCATCAATTTGTTCAAAACGAAACGCATAAGCGAACATGCTTTGCCATACATCAGATGGATGCTTTATGGTACCAGGCACTTTCCGTCCCCCGATCATTATCGCATCTAGAAATCAAACAGGAGTTGCCTTGTGCAACAGATCACTGGACAGCAGCAAACTCTGGCGAATGGGCACACAAGCAATTACTCCTGAGACAGACTGGCCCGCCAACACAATTCTCCGAAGTAGTCAAACAATTCTTGACTTCCAGTCCGGATCTACTTACATTATCTCCATTCGACCCTTATGCAACTATCAACATAAATCAGTTCCTCATTTCCAGTGCTCGAGAGGTGTCTGGTTGGTCTACGATAACAGGTATTCTGAGCACAGATAGAGTGGAGCCACTCAGGTCCTCTCTTGTTGCGCTAGAGCCTTTTGCCCGGCCACGCGGAGATAATCCAGACCCAACGCAGGCTTCGCTGAGTGAAATCACCTGGGAGACGGCGATGATTGAACTACAAATGTGGTCACCTACACACACTAGTGGTATCATCGAAGGGAGCATAGATGCAATACTGTACCAGCTTACAGACCATGCGCCATCGTGTGAGTTTCTTTGTGAATCACGCATCTCAGATCTAGTTCAACCACATGTCGACTGGTTTTTACGGTACCTGGATGTAACCACATCGCCAGAAACCGAAGCACCCTGGGTTCTTCTCTATGCATACAAAGCCTTCATGATTGCGTGGCAGCTTGTTCGCCGCGGCAGGGTAGGATCCATGCGGGTCGTTCAAGTGCAGGATGGCGATACGCAAGGTGCACTTGCGTGGGCCCGGAAGGTCTTTGGACGACGGCAGCGGTGGCAGCTCGGTCGGGTTGCGTTGAATTGTATAGACCGACTAGAAGCTAATGTACCAGTAGAAGCTTGTAAGTAAGTCTGTCAAGACATTAAAGGCTTGGCCTTACTTATGGTTCCATCGCTACCGCTTCGATCCCGAACATGCACCTTCCGCCACATGACGTAGGAGAACAAGCGAGGTGCACTTTCCAATCGCTTTACATGATTTTTCGTCAATGAGCACCAAGGCGTGTGGGGAGTCGAAAGGATTTGGTGTTTTGTGAGTGACAGAATGTGAAGAGGGATGAGCAAGTCAATCAAACATGAACCAACGAACTGCGCAAGATGAGATCCGTCATCAAAGGGTGTTGGAACGTGATTGCGATTTATTCTGCGCGACCGCTAATTTCATCTGAGTACGAATCAAATTACTCTGAGAAAGCTCTTAATCATTACCCTTACACCCATTCGTCCATCCTCCTGCGGCTTTGACAACCTTGTTATTGTTCCAACAGCGCGCGCGAACCCAGATTGGCGTACTGAAGGTAGCGTACCATTCGTGCCCATCATGATCAGCCGGGTTGTCAAAGTACTCGAATTTCCAAAACGTCGTACCGAGTCCATAGCAACTGTCCATGTTAGGCCGAAGAGTCTTTCCGCCATGATCCCAAGTGGCAAAGCCAGCACCCTCAACCTTATAACGTCCATGGGTCCCCTTGTACCAGCCCTCGCATCGGCCGTAAGGATTTTTAGGCCATGGCCAGGGGCGGTTATTGCGGCGAGGGTGGAGCTCATATTTGTAGTCTCCGTTGTCACGAACGTATCGCCCGCCACCCTTCCAGTTCATTGGGTTGTCAGATGTGTCGCATGAGTTCATGAGCTTCTTCATCGAATCGACACATTGGTCTTGATCGAATGCCGAGGCGTCATTCCCCAGTGTGACGACATACTCGTGCTCTTCTGGTGTGCCTTCGTCGTAGATCTTGGAATAGCTCCAGTTGATCTTATTAGACGAATGATTTTCCGCGACCTCTTTGCAGAAGCCTTCGTAGTTCTCGTTGGTGCGATTTCCACTGACGTAGTACTTACTGCCAGTCTTCGAGAAACAAGTAAACTCGTCCTTGACAGTTGCTTCGCATGTAGGCGAATCGACACCGAGGACGATGGCACGCAGATCCATGAGCTCAGCGAGTGCAAAGGAGGCTATAGTGAGGTGACCGGCTTCGTTGGGGTGAAACTACACGTGTCAGCGAGGTGAACATTATCAACCACTCGCGTGAGTGTGAAGGATACTCACATTCTGGCCCACGCGGTCGGGCATACCCATGCCCAGAGTCATGTCGAAACCGCCGTCTCCAGGGCAGGCTGGTGGCGAGGGCGCCCGCGGATCCAGCTTGTGCCTGACGGCAGCACGCGGATTGGGTGACTTGTAAAGAACTGAGTCGTACAGTGTGCGTTCGATGTTCCTGTCACGAGTCTCCATCATGGCCTTTAGGCGGTTGACGCGACGTTTTTCCGAACTGGATAGTCTCGTCGAGTTCAGCAGTTCGTCGAGATCAATGTCGCGCCTGCGCAGCTCCTGCCGTTCGAAATCATTTTCCCAGCCACCCCAGGGATGCGTGTCGGGCTTGATAAAATGCATGTTTGGTTGTTTGGGATCTGGATAGTCGCCATTGCTACTCGGGGAGCACATTCGGGCGTCGAGCTCTTTGGATACCCAGTCGTCCCATTCAGCATAGCCGACCTTATAATTGATCTTGTCGCTTTCAGAGGCCTGATCCACAGCCTCACGGATGGCCTTGTTGATGTCAAGGACGAGCTGGTTAAAAGTATGACGACGAGCCTTTGTGAGCGCCTGATAGGTAGAGCCTAGCGGAAGAAACCAAGCAATATCCCACGACTGACGATCACAATTGTCTTCGGTCGTGTCAAAGAACTGGGCGTAGCTATTCACGACCACGATGCCATCTTTGTTCATCTTCTCATCTAGCGCCTCCAAAATCTGCAGTATGTTGTCCGTAATGATTGACTTGACATTCTCTTGGGCCTTGGCGATGACCGTCTCGCAAGCAGTGGACTTGCCGTAGGGTAACATGATGCAGTCCGCGATGATTTTGGCCAGACACAGGTCGTTTCCACCAGAGGTGAAAGTGACAAAGTCGAGCTCGCCTTTCAGAGCCTTCGCCTGTTGGTAGATTTGTTCTGAACGGTCGCCACTGCAAGCAAGGTATTGGAAACCGCCGTCCTTCTCGACATGGGAGCCAAACTGGGCCTCGATGACTTTAGGGTATGCCATATCATACCTGGAGCATTTCCAGTTGTCGCGAACTTCTTCTAGGCCAGTAGGCGCTGTAATAGCCACTTCATCGGCGGTGATTCTGTGACCCAGGGGCCTGCCGGCACCAATGCCAGCCGTGTAGCTGTCACCGATAGCTGCCCAACGTTTGATCCATTGCATACTGCTCGGATCGTCATCTCGTTTGGAGAGGGGCAGCGGTGCCGAGGAAGCAGACTGATTGGTAGATGATGCACGCTCTCGGTGGAGTTGATGTTCTAAACTTCTACTTTGTCTTCCATGATGCGAATGATGTGGTACGTAGCAGTTGACCATGCCGAGCAGGATCATAAGGCTGAAGACTGACTGAGAGATCATGACGGCTAGTAAAGCTGGCCCAAAATGAGCGACATGAATGTGTATGGAGGAAGAGATCAAACGTCCGAGGCCAGAGTTGTGTGTAGGTTGGACTAATTGATAGGCTGTGAGCAGGTGGGGAGAAGCCTCAAGTGACAAAAGGGAAAAACTCGCACAAGGTGCTCAACCGTCCAGGAACACCTATCTCGACTGGAAATAGAGCTCCAGAAGGCTCAGCCAAGACTCGTTATGATTACGTCCAAGACTTGTGGTCTGGTGAGATCCTTCTCGGTCAAAATGTCAAGATGCAGATTGAAATCTCTCACATGTAGATACAAGTACTACGACGAAACAGGCAGGCGGATAGTATGCGACACGGCCTGCCCGTCTGTAGTATTTGAGTTTTTACTATGGTGGTCTAACCCCTAGGTCCAGAGCAGGTACGCCATCCAAGGATAAAATTGACATTAATGATCCTGCATGTACTACGTATGGACCTGCAGGAAGGCAAGTAGTAACTAGCACGTTATGCAGAGTCGCGATGCCCAATACGGGCTGAAGACCGAGCGACACTCGGCGGCTGAATACCGCCCGAGCGGGCTGATATTAGTGGCGTCTGGTTCCTGCAGGGACCCGAGGTCCATGCCGACCCACATAAGTAAATTCAACCCCATCCTTCGTTCATCTTGGCATATGTATGTTCAAGGAACAGAAACCGACACTAGATGGCGTCTTTATTGATTGACATGCTGCGATAGTACGCGCCTTGGAAGACGACAATGTTGAGGTACCCCTGATGTGCCCATCTGTCATTGAGCAGCGAATCCGGAAGTCGCCCTGCTTGTTTCTCTCCCGTCCCACGATTGTCCGACTCTCGCCTAATTAATCACCCTTACAGCTTCTTTCATCGAGTGTTGTCCACTGTTGACTGCGCTGAAGACTTGCTAGTCACTGTGCGGATTTCTTTTTTGGAAAACATTTCGGCAATCATTATGACTCCTAAGGATGCCTCACTCCGGTGCCTCTATCTTGGACTTAGCCTCCTATCGACGGTGCAGGCGCTCAATTTGGGTTCCTTCGGTGGGCAGGCAGAAACCAAGTTACTGTTAGAGAGCGTCGCTGGTATGGAAACAACACCGCAGGCTCGAGAAATGCTTCTGCGGGCGATCAATAATCAGCCCGACTACACGTGCACCGCAACAAAGCCTTGCGACTTGGGTTGTTGCGGCCCTCTGTGAGTGGAAGACATCCACGGGTTTCTAAAGAAAGGTGGTTAACAATCGTGGTTAGTGATGCCACCGGTACTGGTGCTTGTGGTTTTGGCCCCGTATTCTGCGGCCCCAAATGTACGAGCGACTGCGAACGGAAATCCGAGTGCGATGGCAACAACTGGGGCCTCCAGTATGCCAACTTGACCAAATGCCCGCTCAATGTGTGCTGCAGTGAGCACGGTTTCTGCGGTACGACAATCGATTTCTGCGGCCCCGATCCTGTACCGCACCCTCAGTGCGATCTTTCCAAGCGGAGCGCCGACGCGCGTACCATCGGCTACTACGAGGGCTGGAATTATCAACGTCCATGTGGTAACATGGAGCCTGAAGAAATTCCCTTAGGACACTGGACGCACATCAACTTTGCTTTTGCGCTAATCAACCCCAAAACGTTCCACATCGAGGACATGGATCCTGGCACCGGATCTCGCTATGGTCGTGTCGCCGGACTCAAGGAGAGGCAGCCCGATCTCAAGGTCTGGATTGCTGTTGGAGGGTGGGCAATGAATGATCCTGGACCTTATCGAACAGCTTTTTCCGACTTAGCTGCTAGTGAGGCCAATCAAGATAAGTTCTTCGATTCGCTTTTGACTTTCATGGAGAGATATAATATGGATGGTGTCGATCTGGATTGGGAGTAGTAAGTGATTAGACCCATGTAGTGTTTCGTACATACACTGACCTATGCGCTCTAGCCCTGTAGCAGAAGATCGAGGCGGTATCCCCGCAGACTTCGACAACTATGTTAATCTCCTCAGACGTTTGCGCCAGCGCTTGAATGCTTCCGGTAGAGAGTACGGCATCAGTTTGACACTCGTAAGTGGCCAGCCTTCATGGTACTCCGCTTCCACGTTATTCCACCGAAGCTGATCCCCCACAGCCTGCTTCTTACTGGTATCTCCGTGGTTTCAATCTCCAGGAGATGGAGCCATACCTCGACTGGTTCAACATGATGACGTATGACATTCACGGCGTTTGGGATGCCAGTATCGACAGCCTCGGCCCTATCGCCCAGGCGCATACCAATCTGACCGAGATAAAGATGGGTCTTGAGCTTCTGTGGCGCAACAACATCAACCCAGAGCGTGTCGTACTTGGTCTCGGCTTCTACGGTCGCAGCTTTACCATGAAAGACCCAGGATGCATGACGGCAGGCTGCGAGTTTAGCGAAGGCGCTAATGGCGGTGCGTGCACGGGCACACCCGGCGTACTATCGGCGGCCGAGATCAACGAGGTCATCGCTAAAGGTGCCACTGTCACGTACGACGAGAAGGCCGCTGTCAAGATCGTCACTTGGGATTCGAACCAGTGGGTTTCATTTGACGATACTCAAACGTTGGGATCAAAGATTGATTTTGCGCACCAGCATTGCTTAGGAGGGCAAGTACTATCATTTCGATTCCTACCATTCATTACTAGTTGCTGACTGACAAACAGGACTATGGTATGGGCTATCGACCTTGATGACGGTACACTCACCAAAGCCCTTGGTGAGAATATCGAGCGACGTGAGCTACCTACCTACGAACCAAGGAATTACTTCGAGTGCGGCGCCAGGCCTGAGTTGTAGACACCTAAAAGCAGGCCGACAGGGGTGTTGCTGGAAAGTCAGTCTGATCGGCCTTGATACATGTGGTCAATGACCAATCTAGCCGTCGACGTATGCACATTGCGCCGCTCAACATGCACAGAAACGCCCCTCATACGTGATTCGCCGCCGACTGATACCATGATTGGAGATTTGCTTGCTGTGACTATAGACCACTGTGACTACCTTGCCACTAAGAGTGATCAAAGTTTTAAGTGGCGAGCATATTATCTACATGAGGTATGAAAAATATAAGCTAGAACAGACAAGGAGCGACATGCGAGTCAAAGGAAGAAACGACAACCTGGTTACCCACGAGGTTGCGGCTTTGCTTGTACATATACCCCCTCATCCATCGCACGACCCGCCCTTAGTATCACCAGCGCGCGATATTCCACTCCTTATTTTCTTAAGCCTGTTGAAAAATTGGCTCGATCTCGAGTTGTGCGGCTCGCCCGGTACAGACAAAGCTGGTTTGCCGTAGAGCGTGATGAGACGGTCAATGTCCATAGGGCTAGGTGCTAGCCGATTGGGGATGAGACTGCCATCATCGTATTTGAGAACGACTTCACGGTCGTCCCCTAGACCTATTCCACCTGCACGTGAGGGATACATCATGATCGAATTTGGATCAAAATTTTCGTCTGAAACCTTCTTGTCCAAAGATGGATACGGAAGCCACTCGGCTGCACTAAATCCCCATTTGCCCGCAACTTTCATGGAAACGCAAATGTGATCCAGGTCGAATTGTAGTTCATCCATCAAATTGTGATCATTCGCCTCTCTCGCTGCTGCGACCAAGGTAGTTAGAGTCTTGCTGATTGCAGCGAAATCGCTGAGAGCCTCGCAGTCGAAGTCGCTAGGCTTAAATTTGGGCTGACTACTTCTGCCACTCCAAAGGCTCCAACCATTGTTGTAGTCTCCAGAAGTGATGCGCCAGTAGCGAGGATTCTGGTGCTCATGGATTAGGCCCCAGACGTGACCAAGCTCGTGGGCTATGTTGGCATGGATGTCGTCCTGACCGATGCCTTCATTGTCGGAAAGATTCGTTACAGGCCCCAGGTCCGCATCAGTAGGCTTACCATCATTTGCCGCTTCGTTTATAGGTGGGATGCCCAAACTTGACAATAGCTTGCCATCGGTATTGTATTTGATAAGCAAGACGGTGTCGCGATTGCTTTGCCACTCATCCCTGGAGGAGACCTCTTCGTAAGAAAAGCCGTGTACTTTGAGAGGTGCCCATAGTTCTATGGCCCGTTCCCAGATTCCCTTGAGCCTCAAATTCTCTGGATCTTCAAAGTGGTATCTTATCTTCTTGTTGGGCCAGAGGCGCGGGGCCAATTTGTCGTTTGGCCGGCTCTCCATGGAGAAAGCGCGCTTCATAAGTGAAGACGTTGAATTATGTGTCTCAAAACCCAGATAGTCCGGAGTGGAGTTTGTTCGCTGGTTTGGCGCCTTTGCCTCCCAAAATCTGCTGCCACCCAGGACCCCTTCCGCGCTGGCTAGCAAGAGGCCCGAAACGAAGGTAGGAGAAAGATACATGGTTGTTAAGAAGATGAATGAGTGTGATGTGGGATAGTGTCGCGAAGTGAACGAATGACAAAGTCTCAGGACGATGGGCTGTAGATGCCTTTTGCACGAAGAAAAAGAGTATTTGGATCGACTCGGCAAGGTCGCGGAGAGAACGGATGCACAAATCCAAGACACGTCTGTCGCGACATGTTGGCCTGCATTTACTTACCCTGGGTTCGTCTTTGCAAATTGCACGCGCTTAGAGTTCGGTTGTAATTCCTTCGGCGTGAGCCCTGTTAACGTGCTATCTTGGTCAGATCCGTTCACCCTTGCTAGTTCCCGTCATCATCGATCAAAACGGCAGGTGTTCCCTCTGATAGACTAAACCCTGCGTTAGATTGATGTGTGCCGTGCTTGGCACTATAGCAGGGCCAAGGCCAAACTAGCTTCTAATCTTGCATGCTATCCGAGGCCAATGTACGTATCTGGTTGCTACAGCACGCCAAGCTCTTTGAGACCAGGTAAAATGTAGTAGTGCCAGCTAGAATGACGGCTAAAAATCAAAGTGCGCAGCTTTGTGTGACTAAAGTATGCAGCCAAGCTATGAGTAAGGTTGTTACTCCTATATGTGACGTCCACCGAAATTTGAATCCTCATCCTTTCCAACGGCTCGAATATTGGATTTTCGGGACTGTCCATTCTGGTCAGTGGGTACCATGAGTCTCAGTCTCTTCTCTGGGCCCGCGAACCTTTTCCACAATCTGAGTCTTTTAGCTCAATTGTTCAATTGACATTGTACGCCAAAGCCGGACCAAGCGTTCCTGAAAGTAGTTCACATCGACGTCCAGTGTTTGAGCATTCGATCTGGACACTTTTCTTTTGCGTGCTTCATCGGTCACTGTATCGCGAAGTTATCCTTCCCGCTGCCAGTATGCGGCTGTCCATTCAGCAAGTATGTTGGCTGGCTTTGAGCTCCGTTTTTCCAGTTGTCGTGGCTCAAACCTCTAGCCCTGACGGTGCGGTCCATCCAGGACAGCCGGCGAATTGCAACGGATGGCATACCGTCGTTTCTGGTGACAATTGTCAGACTGTGTCCCAGCGTTACGGTATCTCACTGAGTCAATTCTTCGAATGGAATCCCGCCGTTTCCTCTGACTGCCTCAACAATTTCTGGCTCGATTCGGCCTACTGTGTGAGGATCGGAGATATCAATACCAGACCCAGCAGCTCCGCCGGTGCAACCTCAAACCCCACGTCCACATCGACGTCTATGGTCACGTCACAAACGACCATTACCTCAAACTCTGCAACACCAACTACTTCTTACAACTCGACATACTCAGTCTTGCACCCAGTCACCTCTTGGAACGTGTCGACCACGAGTACTGACAAGACGTGGCCGCCTACCCAGACGCTCGCGGGTCAGACTGCAATATGCAATGCGTGGCATCGCGTTGTCCCTGGTGATACATGTCAGCGAATGCTTGACAAATATGGCCTGAAGTCCATGGACGATTTTTTGAGTTGGAATCCCGCGGCCAAGGAGGACTGTGAGATGCTCATCGCCGACTACTGGGTGTGCGTCGGGGTGCAGCGGCAGATGGGTAACACGGATCTCGAATGGGAAACGGCTCAGCCTGAGTTTACCGCGCCTCCAGAGCCCACCAAGTACACACCCGTTACGCTGCCCGCAGCTGACTCGAGCTTCGCACCGATCCCGTCTCATGGGCCTATGCCGATCGACTGTAAAGTTTACCACAGGGCCACAGCTGACCAGAACTGCAATGACATTGTCAAACTGTACAACTACTTTTCACAGGAGCAGTTCTTGTCGTGGAACCCAGCTCTTGACGGCAATTGTCTGGGTCTTTGGTTGGATACGTGGTATTGTGTTGGCGCATATGCGGATGACAATCTCCCACTGCCTGCACACCAGACCACCAAGCCAACCGAGGGCAACGTCCCTCTGGGATACCCCAATGATTGCGCGCGATGGTATCAGACAACTTTCGACGACACGTGCGACCTTATCGTACTTATGTTTGGCAGTTTCAGCATGGCCGATTTTGTCAAGTGGAATCCGACTGTCTTCCGTGATTGCAGCGGCATCATTTTGGATGCATGGTACTGTATAGGTCGCCCGGATACGCCGATAACACGTACCCCAGGCGCACCATGGCCGACGCAGTTGACAACGTCGATGCCGATGACTACGTCTACCAAGCCATCATCAACTGCAACAGGAGCGCCGCAGCCTGTGCAGACACCTTCGCCTGTCCGTGAAGGCATGACGAAAGATTGCGTGCGATTTCACCTACAGCAGCCTGACGAGTTTTGCTGGGCGATGGCGTCCGGTGCTGGTATCTCCTTGACGTGAGTTCTTCCCCAACTGAAAGGTTTTGTGCTCCTGAGGAATCGTGCTAATTGTTGGTCCACAGCCAATTCTACGAGTGGAACCCCGCTGTCGGTGACGATTGTCAAAATCTGTGGCCGGATTATTACTATTGTACCGGTGTGTGAAAGCCCGGGCGACTCTGGGAGAGGGATGACTCGGAGGCGAGCTGCACCGGCATGAAACTTTGCGCCCTGATAAGAAATGAAAATGATATTGCATGTAGTGTGTGGAGTGGCCTGATTGTCAAGATGGAGTGTTCCGTCCCGCGGACCTCGGGATCAATCATATCTTGCCTAGCGGCTTTTAGCGTCATTCAAATAGATTGCGTTCCTGCGCAACTTCCCTACTGTCGTCTCATGCTCGGCACAAATCGCACCGCCGATGATGTGAAATCGCTTTGCGCTGCATCCTCCGGGTCCGGCCAAGGCCACTGCTAAGCCCGACTGTATCCATGATTGTGCAGGCTCGTTGGTCGAATACATCATCGCATTAGCTCCATGGCAGCGGTGTAGGACTAGCCGAAGAATGAACTTAACGTCTGTTCTTTCTCCCAATCAGAGCCGACACACTTGGCTCTTGGGGCCTCACGACCCGCACCGACCGCTTCGGCAGCGAGTGTCTTATGAGCCTGCCCCCTGATTCTAGACTCAGATTCTTTCACCTACTTTCTGACGTCCCAACAATGACTAAATTCAGCATATGGGTGAAGAAGCACCTAGGTATCAAATCGGGTGCCCAGAAACAGTCGACGGATGAACCACCATACCTACCATTGTCGCGACGACCAATCACACCAAAATCGCTCGATACACGTACATGTCTATTCTTCCAATTACCCTACGACATCAGGAGTATGATCCTCTTCATGGCCTTTGGTGGCCGTACCCTTCATGTGGACCTCGTGCGTCAGAAGAATGTATGGCAATGGGGAGGCGCTGTGTGCTGCAGAAATAGGGATCCTGGGTGTGGAATGTCACAAGGCGGGTTTGCGAGCAAAAGATCTGCTGTCCGCACGATGCCGTGCCCCAGTGATTACACCTCTGTCAGATTGATGCGTTACGGTTGGGTCGGTCCGTGGTGCGACAGATGCATGGACTCAATTTATAGAAGCGGAGGGGGGTACTGGGAGGAGGACAATACTGGAATCATGGGGTTTCTGCTGTCATGCAGACACGCGTACACCGAGGGGATTGACGTACTCTACTCTACCAACTGCATCAGCATCGAGAGTGAGCCCTTGCTTCTTCACCTACCTCAGCTTCTTCCTTCAAACAGGCTCGCGTCAATCACTTCTCTTGAGATGCTTGTCAGGGCGCATCGAATTGAGCATGCTGACGGAAGTTCATCCTTCAGTATGGATCACCTGAAGCCGATGCTTGACCATGTCGCCATGCTCTGCCACCACCTCCGTGAGCTCTGCTTGTCATTTGTTGTTGACAGCGACTGCTGCGAGCTTCTTGATGGCCCAACACTGCCGCTAGTCGATTCCTTCTACAAGTCCAAGCCGTTGCGAAACATGAGAGTGGAGCTACCAACTGCCGACTACAGACCAGCATGTAGATCATGTGTTATTGGCGACCATCCCGATGAAGCGCGCACCAATCATAAGCAGGAACGATCGCCCTGGAGATCTTTAGATGACGAGAAACCAAAAACGCAGAACAGAAGTATCGAGCGCTATCCTTATCCCCCACTGAAGCTGCCGGCGGCACATGGGGATGAGATCAGAGAGAGCCAAGGATACTGGCTGTGTGAAGGTGATCGTGGGCCAGAACCGCCGCTAATAATGTGTCACGTACCGTAGTGCGCGGAGAGTAGTTTTACTAACAGGGATGTCGCTATATTACACTGAGTATAGTAGTATAGTAAGGAAATTCTATTTTAAACTCTTAATAACTTTATTGTATTATAGTATAAAAATTCTTC